AACTGTTGGAGGGCCGGATTATAATTTGAAAAAAAAGAAGGAATTCCTATGCACACTGCACATAACATATTTGTAGTGCAAAAGCCATTTAAAAACAATACAATAATTAAAACGAAGAACAATTTTAACAAATATAAATTTATTAGTATTTTAATGGGAAGTGTTTGCCTGCTTTTGGCTGATGAGATAGGATTGTTGTTGTTGTTGTGAGTTTTTGAGTCATCACAGACTTAGGTTGACCCTGAGCGAGGGCTGGATAAATGACAGTGGAGGGCTGTATCCGGCCCCCGGGCCTTAGTTTGAGGACCCCTGACCTAAATGGTTCTGGCCCAGTTTACCTGTCCGAACGTATCTCCTGCTATGAACCATCACACAGCTTAATGATAGTCAGGAGAGGCCCTGCTCTCGATCCCGCCACTCTCGCAAATGCGGTTGGTGGGAACAAGAGAAAGGGCCTTCTTTGCAGTGGCCCCCCCATCTGTGGAACTCCCTCCCTAAGTACATCAGGCTGGCCACCTCCTTCCTGTCCTTCAGGAAACAACTGAAGACCTGGCTGTGGGACCAGGCGTTGGAGTAGAGGCATTGACTTGAGGACAATGGCAGCTTGGAAAAGAAACTTGAACATTATGCCAATGGATCTAATTGGATGGACCTTAGTTTTTAGCGGTATGTTAACTGAATGTTAAATGAATTCCTTGATGATTTTTATAATGTTTTAATTGAGCCTATTGTTCTTAATTGAATGTATATGTCAGGGGTCCTCAAGATAAGGCCCGGGGGCCGAATGCAGCCCTCCAAGGTCATTTACCCGGCCCTCGCTTAGGGACAACCTAAGTCTGTAATGACTTGAAAGCACACAATAACAACAACAATCCTATCTCATCAGCCACACTTTCCATTGAAATACTAATAAATTTATATTTGTTAAAATGTTCTTCATTTTTATTACTGTATTGTTTTTAAGTGGTTTTTGCACTACAAATAAAGTATGTGCAGTATGCATAGGAATTCATTCATGTTTTTGTTTTTTTCAAATTACAATCCGGCCCTCCAACAGTTTGAGGGACTGTGACCTGGCCCTCTGTTTAGAAAGTTTGAGGACCGCTGGTATACGTTGACGGCATCACTGATGCTTATGTAAAGCCGCCTTGAGTCCCCTTGTGGGAGAAAGGCAGGGTTGCTTTTTGTAATAATTGTGCATTGTAATTGCTTATTGGTAATTTATGGATAATGTGTTAAGTCAATTGTTATATGTTGTATGGAACCACTGCTGTTTCTACTGTTTTTACTGTTTGTGAACCGCTGTGAGTCGCCTTCGGGCTTGAGATACAGCGGTATATAAGCAAAGTAAATAAATAATAATAAATAAATAATAGAAATGAAGGAAATAAATAAAAATAAATAAATTATATATTATATTAATATATGTTATAATATTATAATTTTATAATATTAGGATTATATTATATATGTTATAATGGAATATATTGTATTTATATATGTGTGTTATATTATTATATATTATAATTATATTAATTTTATTTTATTATATTATTATATACATTATAATATAATATATTATATTATATCTTTGTGTGTGAATGTGCCTTCAAGTCACCTATTCCTATTGACTTATGGCAACCCCATACATTGCACAGGATTTTCTTAGGCAAGGAACGTGGATTTTGCCAGGTCCTTCCTCTGAAATATAGCCTGTAACACCTGGGATTTCTTGGGGAGCCCTTCTATCCAAATACTAAGCAGGGTTGGCCTTACTTAAGTGTCTAAAATCAGGTAAGATTGGAGACTTTTGAGGTATTTTTACTTACTGCCAATTGCTTGTTTTCCTTCTCTCTCTTTTTTTAGTGAAACTGAAATACATACATTTCCAATCAACCCCTATCTCTCTCTCTCTCTCTCTCTCTCTCTCTCTCTCCATTCTCCTGGAGAGGGTTCCACCTTTAAACACGGCCTAAAAATATTTTCAACGATGTGCAAGACTTACGTATCGAGATGGCTGCTTACAATTCCGAGGCTCAATCTCCTGCGATTTGTTGAACAAGTAGTCCGTGAACTCCTTCTCGGGGATGTTTCCCATGGGGTTCAAGTTTTCAAAAAAACGCTGGAATGACCAAAATAATATTGTCGATCAATCGCAAGGGAATAAAAGAGGGAAGCGGCATGGCAAGAAAAGAGATGGAGTGGACTTCAAAATTAAAATCTTTGGTCTCCTTTCCACTCTTAGAAATCAGTTCTGAATGTCCTGAGGGTCTCTTTCCTTCTGAAGTACCTCTAAACATTACTGAAATATTTATTTTTGAGCATCTGCTCGCACAAAAATCTCTTGATCCTTAGCTCACACTTCCCTTTGAATTGTCACTAAATGGTGTGTTTCAGTTCCGGAAATTTCTAGAGTTACATTCCAAATAGGTATTTTTACACACCATAGACAACGTACAAATATAGTAATAATTTCACATGTTGTAAAATTATATAATGTTTATATTATGTTATTATGCAATGTGTTGTTACTTTCTATGGTTTTTCATAGCCCCTCAAAAAGGCATATACAGATCCATGCATTCTGTATTTTGAGTGTAGTAAAATATAGTAATATATAATACTAATATTGTGCTAATATTGGTCTGCATCAATAGGAGCCTAGTGTCTAGATCTAGGGAAGTCATGCTCCCCATGCTCTATTCTGTCTTGGTTAGACCACACCTGGAATACTGTGTCCAATTCTGGGCACCACAATTCAAGAGAGATATTGACAAGCTGGAATGTGTCCACAGGAGGGCGACTAAAATGATCAAGGGTCTGGAGAACAAGCCCTATGAGGAGTGGCTTAAGGAGCTGGGCATGTTTAGCCTGAAGAAGAGAAGGATGAGAGGAGATATGATAGCCATGTATAAGTATGTGAGAGGAAGCCACAGGGAGGAGGAGGGAGCAAGCTTGTTTTCTACTTGCTTGGAGACTAGGACGCAATGGAGGAATGGCTTCAAACTACAAGAGAGGGGATTCCATCTGAACATGAGGAAGAACTTCCTGACTGTGAGAGCCATTCAGCAGTGGAACTCTCTGCCCCGGAGCATGGTGGAGGCTCCTTCTTTGGAAGCTTTTAAACAGAGGCTGGATGGCCATCTGTCAGGGGTGATTTGAATGCAATATTCCTGCTTCTTGGCAGAATGGGGTTGGACTGGATGGCCCATGAGGTCTCTTCCAACTCTTTGATTCTATGATTCTGTGATCAGTTGGGAGCCCCTCCCCACAGCAACAATATAGTAATATATAATACTAATATTGTGCTGTGCTAATATTATAATATATTGCATACACATATAATATTGATAATAATATTATAATGCAATACAAATAATACTAATAATAATAATACAATATAATAATTGCATCTTATATATTACATATAACATTACTAATAATATAGATATAACTTGTAAGCCTCTCTGGGCCCCCTTCAGGGTGAGAACGACGGCATATAAAAATTGTAAATAATTAAATAATATTATATATTACATGTAATATTACTAATAATCTTGCAGTATAATGGTATAGCGCAATATAGTAATATATAATACTAATATTGTGCTATGCTAATAATATAATATATTATATGTACGTATAACTTGTAAGCCTCTCTGAGTCCCCTTTGGGGTGAGAACGGCGGCATATAAATATTGTAAATAATTAAATAATATTATATATTACATGCAATATTACCAATAATATTCCAGTATAGTGTTGTAGTACAATATGGTAATATATAATACTAATATTGTGCTTGTTGTTCATTCGTTCAGTCGTCTCCGACTCTTCGTGACCTCATGGACCAGCCCACGCCAGAGCTCCCTGTCGGCCGTCACCACCCCCAGCTCCTTCAAGGTCAGTCCCGTCACTTCAAGGATGCCATCCATCCATCTTGCCCTTGGTCGGCCCCTCTTCCTTTTGCCTTCCACTTTCCCCAGCATAATTGTCTTCTCTAGGCTTTGCTGTCTCCTCATGATGTGGCCAAAGTACTTCAACTTTGTCTCTAGTCTCCTTCCCTCCAATGAGCAGTCGGGCTTTATTTCCTGGAGGATGGACTGGTTGGATCTTCTCGCAGTCCAAGGCACTCTCAGCACTTTCCTCCAACACCACAGCTCAAAAGCATCGATCTTCCTTCGCTCAGCCTTCCCTAACGTCCAGCTCTCACATCCGTAGGTGACTACAGGGAATACCATGGCTTTGACTAGGCGGATCTTTGTTGCCAGTCTGATGTCTCTACTTTACTATTTTATCGAGACTGGACATTGCTCTCCTCCCAAGAAGGAAGCGTCTTCTGATTTCCTGGCCACAGTCTGCATCTGCAGTATCTTTGCACCTAGAAATACAAAGTCTGTCACGGCCTCCACGGTTTCTCCCTCTATTTTCCAGTTGTCAATCATTCTTGTTGCCATAATCGTGGTTTTTTTGACGTTTAGCTGCAACCCACCTTTTGCGCTTTCTTCTTTCACCTTGATTAGAAGGCTCCTCAGCTCCTCCTCGCTTTCGGCCATCAGTGGTGTCATCTGCATATCTGAGGTTGTTAATGTTTCTTCCAGCAATTTTCACCCCAGCTTTGCATTCATCAAGCCCCGCACATCGCATGATGTGTTCTGCATACAAGTTAAAAAGGTTGGGTGAGAGGATGCAGCCTTGCCGTACGCCTTTCCCAATCTTGAACCAGTCTGTTGTTCCGTGGTCAGTTCTGACTGTTGCTACTTGGTCCTTGTACAGATTCCTCAGGAGAGAGACAAGGTGGCTTGGGATGCCCATCCCACTAAGAACTTGCCACAAGTTATTATGATCCACACAGTCAAAGGCTTTAGAATAGTCAATGAAGCAGAAGTAGATGTTTTTCTGAAACTCCCTGCCTTTCTCCATTATCCAGCGGATATTGGCAATCTGGTCTCTCGTTCCTCTGCCTTTTCTAAACCCAGCTTGAACATCTGGCAACTCTCGCTCCATGTATTGCTGGAGTCTTCCTTGCAGGATCTTGAGCGTTACCTTACTGGCATGAGAAATAAGGGCCACTGTACGGAAGTTTGAACAGTCTTTCGGATTTCCCTTTTTTGGTATGGGGATATAAGTTGATTTTTTCCAGTCTGATGGCCATTCTTGTGTTTTCCATATTTGCTGGCAAATGGCATGCATCACCTTGACAGCATCATCTTTTAAGATTTTAAACAGTTCGGCTGGGATCCCGTCATCTCCTGCTGCCTTGTTGTTAGCAATGCTTCTTAAGGCCCATTCAACCTCACTCCTCAGGATGTCTGGTTCTAATTCATTCACCACACCGTCAAAACTATCCTAAATATTATTATCCTTCCTATACAGATCTTCTGTATAGTCTCGCCACCTTCTCTTGATCTCTTCAGCTTCTGTTAGGTCCCTGCCATCTTTGTTTCTTATCATACCAATTTTTGCCTGAAATTTACCTCCAATGTTTCTAACTTTCTGGAAGAGGTCTCTTGTCCTTCCTATTCTGTTGTCTTCTTCCACTTCCATGCATTGCTTATTTAAAAATAGTTCCTTATCTCTTCTGGCTAACCTCTGGAATTGCGTATTTAACTGGGCATATCTCCCCTTATCCCTGTTTCCTTTTGCTTTCCTCCTTTCTTGGGCTACTTCCAGTGTCTCAGCAGACAACCATTTTGCCTTCTTGGTTTTCTTTTTCTTTGGGACGTACTTTGTTGCCCCCTCCTGAACAATGTCTCGGACTTCTGTCCATAGTTCTTCTGGGACTCTGTGTACTAAATCTAGTCCTTCAAATCTGTTCTTCACTTCCACTGTATATTCGCTAGGAATGTTAGTGAGATCATATCTAACTGGTCTGTGTATTTTCCCTGATCTCTTTAGTTGTATTCTAAATTGGCAATAAGAAGTTCGTGATCTGAGCTACAGTCAGCCCCAGGTCTTGTTTTCACCGACTGGATGGATGTCCGCCACCTTTGGCTGCAAAGGATGTAGTCAATCTGATTTCGGTGCTGACCATCTGGTGAAGTCCATGTGTAAAGCCGTCTTTTAGGTTGTTGGAAGAGAGTGTTTGTTATGCACAGCGAGTTTTCCTGGCAAAATTCTATCAGCCTGCATCCCGCTTCATTTTGTTCTCCCAGACCATGCTTGCCTGTGATCCCAGTTGTCATTTGACTTCCCACCTTGGCATTCCAGTCTCCTGTAATGAAAATAATGTCTCTTTTTGGTGTATTATCCAGTAGGTCCTGCAGATCCTCATGATCTACTTCTGCTTCTTCAGCAGCTGTGGTTGGGGCGTATATTTGGATCACTGTAATGTTGAAAGGCTTTCCTTGCACTCGAATTGAGATCATTCTGTCATTTTTTGGGTTGTATCCAAGCACCGCTTTAGCGAATTTCTTATTAATTATCAAGGCTACTCCATTTCTTCGATGTTCCTCTTGTCCGCAGTAGTAGATCTGGTGGTCATCTGATGTGAAGTGGCCCATTCCAGTCCATTTCAGTTCGCTGACCCCCAGAATGTCTATCTTTAGTCTTGACATCTCAATAACAAAATCCAATTTGCCCTGGCTCATAGATCTTACATTCCAGGTTCCTATGGTGTGTTGATCTTTAGAGCATCGGATTCGTCGTTCACCTCCAGTACCGTCGGCCGCTAGCCTTCCTTTCGGCTTTGAGCTAGCTGCGTCATCACATCTGGGGCTAATTGAACTTATCCTCTGCTCCTCCCCAGTAGCATTTTGGCCATCTTCCGACCTGGGAGTCCCATCTTCCAATGGCATACCGACATATCTCTGGTTGTACTGGTCCATTTAGTTTTCTTGGCAAGGATACTGGAGTGGTTTGCCATTGCCTTCCCCAGGGATCACGCTTGGTCTGACCTCTCTGCCACAACCGTCCCGTCTTGGGTGGCCCTTCACGGTTTCGCTCATGACATCATTGAGGTGCTCAAGCTCCAGCGCCCCGACAAGGCAGTGATCCTTTGCTGGAGAATATTGTGCTATGCTAATAATATAATATATTGTATATACATATGACTTGTAAGTTGCTTTGAGTTCTCTTTGGGGTGAGAGAGGGTGAGGTATAAAAATAGTAAATAAATAAATAAATTCTGTATCCTTGGATTCAACCATCCATGGATTGAAAATATTATTTTTACAGAAATTCCGAAAAAAACCAAAACCATTTTACTACCCCATTGGATAGAATTGGACTTGAGAACTCACAGATTCTGGTATCCATGGGTGTTCCTAGAAATAAACCCCAGGGGATACCAAAGCCCTGCAGTACAGGCCAAAATGCACTGGGCTTTCTATTTATAATTCACTGCCCGGTGGCGCAGTGGGTTAAACCGCTGAGCTGCTGAACTTGCTAACCAAAAGGTTGCAGGTTCGAATCCGAGGACCATCATGAGCTCCTGCTGTTAGCCCCAGCTTCTACCAACCTAGCAGTTTGAAAACATACAAATGCCAGCCACATGACCATGGAGGTGTCTATGGACAATGCTGGCTCTTCGGTTTAGAAATGGAGATGAGCACCAACCCCTAGAGTTGGACACCTTTACCTACAACTATTGAGCAACCGCTTTGAGTCCCACTAGGGGTGAGGAAGGCAGTATATAAATACGGTAAATAAAGTTCCTTTTGATGAGGGACTCCCCAGTTTTTGCCTCCTCCCTGCTTTTGAGGCTTCAGCAGAACTCCCAGATACATGTTTCCTTCCCCCCCAGAAAGCAAGAAAGAACAAAAGCAAGCTCCATTTACCCGGATCTCTGGCTCGACGCGTAAACAGTAAGGCTGGTTCTGATATTGCTGGATTTCTCCTGTGATTTCTGCTACTTTCCGTCTCTTGCTGAAGTTGATTAATCCTTTCCCCTCTCTCTTAAGGAAGTCAGGATTCCCTTCTTCGGTCTTCAGAATATTAGTTAAGTATATTCCTAATTGGAGACAGGGAGAAAAAGGGGGCACTTTAGATTGTCCACATTTAAGCCATATTTTCACCCTATTATTATGCACAACATTTCAATTAAAAAAACCCCTAAAGCCCTTCCTTTCAAAGCTCAATTCTGGATTGTTAACTGTATCTGAAAATATACAGGCATATCTCAATTGACAATGCCTGGCTATTGCAAAAGCTCCTTTTTACGTAATTTTTTTATGTCCAGCCAGTCCTGTTGCTCTCCAGAGCAGGAATTCCCTCTGACTTTAGACACCACACAGTTGAGTTAAAATAGCAAGCAGTTTATTGAGGGTAATAAAAGCCAAACCAATAAAAAGTAATCCATGGTAAAAGCTAAATCCAATTGATTAGGCAATAAAAAGAGCAATTAATCCAAAGAGGAATAGTCCAAAGAAGTTCATGAAACTAGAGGCTTGATTTCAAAAGCAAAATAACAGCAAAGACACTTAATACAGGAATCAAACAAAGACAAAGGTACAGGAACTTGGCATGAAGAACTTATCGTGAATCCAATGTTGCTTCGTCTGAAGCCACACTCAGAGCTTGGCACTTATATGTCTACTTTGTTTCCCAAACAGCTAAGAATGGATTTTTCCTCAGCTTTGGTTTCACTTCTCGCTTCTGCTCTAATCTGACTGAGTGTCTTAATTTCTGAGTTGTTTGTCTTTGCTGGCTAAAAGCACTTCTTCTGTCCAAGGCTTCATGAAAATCTGCACCTGCAGATAACTGACCAGGCGTACAGCCTTTCCCAGGCTTGAGACCTTGAGAATCCCTTTATAGCAAGACAGGGTTTTCTAAGCCATCAACTGAACTACATTCAGGCCCCACATCTCTAAAACCAAGCCCAGGAAACTGACCATCATCCCCATTCCCTTCAGGAACATCTTCATGAACAGCATCCCCATCCCCATCAGAGGAATCAACTTGAATATGAACAACATTGTCATTCCCATCATCCAAAGCAACTTAATCATTAGACACAATCACAGGGTGAACAGGCTGACATAATAATAATAATAATAATAATAATAATAATAATAATATTAATAATAATCTTAATTTATACTCTGCTCCATCTCCCCCAGGGGAACTCGGGGTGGCTTACATGAGGCACGCCCATCAGTACAGTACATACATTGCAATACAAAAGAAAAACATAACATTACCAGAGAATAAAATACATAAAATGCAAAGAAATATAATAAACAACACAGACAATATAAAACAAACAATTAAAAACAAAGGATTTCACTGGGCAGGGCCACATTCAAGGCTAAAATTATTAAAACACTGGGAGATAGGAGAAAGTAAATTATCAGGATGAGGATCAGAGAGTGAGGGAGGATTCAATTGCATGAACCATAAGTAAAGTGCTTCTAAGGACATTTAGTGCAAAGTTTGGTCAGGGAGTTTCCTACATTCAATCACTGAAGGCACATTGGAATAGCCAGGTTTTCAGATTCCTAGTGTGAGGGCTTGCCTAATATCTCTGGGGAGTGAGTTTCAGAGTCAAGGGGCCAACACAGTGAAGGCCCTCTCTCTCGTGCCTGCAAGTCGCATTTGAGATGCGGGCGGGAGCGAGAGAAGAGCCTCTCCAGAAGATCGAAGAGATCGCGTGGGTTCGTAGATGGAGATACAGTCGCACAGGTAGGTGGGTCCCAACAGTTCCCTATTCTTCTTCATCCTCTGTCTAGGGGAGATGCTTGACATTGTATTCCTCTATATAAGGCATGGGCAAACTTGGGCCCTCCAGGTGTTTTGGACTCCAACTCCCACAATTCCTAACAGCCTACCGGCCTAACAGCTCCTCACTATTACCTGTGGAGCCCCAAGGGCTCTGCGGAGCACACTTGGAGAACCCCTGTCTTAGACTAACAAGTGGGAATCAAAGGCAAGATGGTATTGATAACATATTACATATTATCAGTACATCGATGCAGAAATAGCCATCTCTGAGATTAGACTAACATCAGGAAAAATATTTATTTATCTATCTATATATAAATGCTCTGTTCGTTTTGAGTGACATCATAACTCAAAATCCGCTGGACGAATTGACACCAAATTTGGCCACAAGACATCTATTAACCCAAGGATGACCACCACTTAAAAAAAATGATTTTGTCATTTGGGAGTTGTAGTTGCTGGGATTTATAGTTAACCTACAATCAAAGATCATTCTGAACTCCACCAATGATGGAATTGAACCAAACTTGGCACACAAGACTCCCATGACCAAGATAAATCACTAGAAGGGTTTGGTGGGCATTGACCTTGGATTTTGGAGTTGTAGTTCACCTACACCCAGAGAGCATTATGGACTCAAACAATGAAGGATCTAAACCAAACTTGGCACAAATACTTCATATGCCCAAATATGAACACAGATAGACTAGCCATCCCCTGCCACGCATCTATATAAATAATGTTCGTTTGTGGGATTAACATAACTCAAAAACCACTGGATGAAACGACATGAAATTTGACCAGAAGACACCTAACGGACCAATGAGTGACCATAACTCATAAAAAAACAGAAAAACACAGTGGAAAGGACTTAAAAAACCCCAAAAATCTAAATTATGATATAGTGCATGTGCGGAAATAACTCCCCTGGCTCAAACCCCCTCTGCGTTTTGGAAAGAGCCGGCCATACCAGCTTTGAGAGCCAAGCATGCGTGCATGGGAAGGAAGAAGAGAAAGTAGAAGGGACAGAAAAAGGGGGGATAAGGAAGGAAAGTGGTAGAGAAGAAAGGAACCAGACTGAGGTCACAGCAAAGTGTGGCCAAGGACAGCTAATGAAAAATAAAAAATATATAGCCTTTTTTAAAAAAGGGGGGTTTATTACATCTGCTATTTTCCCCATACCCCAACATTATTTTTTTAAGACTTCAGTACAGAATCCTCATCTGAAAAGGGCATATAAAAAGCATCAGGGCACAAAGACATAACTTTATTCCTCTTCTCATGGTTTAAAAGCTGTGCATCAAAATATCCCCTAAGTATCTTCTCTGTGAGCGTAACTTACCAAAGAAAGGCACGCAGGGTGGGTTGATTGATTTGAGCTTAGCAAGGTATTTTTTAAAGTGATCTTGGCTTAATTCCACTGCTTCGTCCAGAATCTTCTTTTTCCTCTCCTGCAGCGCCTGATTGGATGACGAGAGAAACAAGAGCCACATGTCTGAACACTTTGCAAAATATTCAACAGTTTATTTACTTACGACATTTCTATCCTGCCTTTCTCAACCTGGAGGGGACTCAAAGTGGCTTTACACGCAGGCAATGATTCGATGCCTTAAAACACAATGTACACTTAAATAAATATTGAAATAGAATTAAAAAGTATATTGAAAACAACTAAAACATTTACAAGCAATACATTTAGAGTTAAACATGTAATCCACAAGCGTAATCTGGACCATTCCAATGGTCACTGCACATTGTTCCAAGTCTATCTATTGAACAAGTTCTCAAAAGGCTTGGTCACAAAGCCACATTTTCACTGTCTTGCGGAAGGCCAGGAGGGAGGGGGTTGATCTAATATCCCTGGGGAGGGAGCGCCACAGCAGAGGGGCCACCACTGAGAAGGCCCTGTCTCTCATCTCTACCCATCGTGCCTGCGAGGGAGGCGGGACCAAGAGCAGGGCCGCCCGAGATGATTTTAAACTCTGTGATGGTTCATAGAGGTAGATATGTTTAGACAGATAAGCTTGGCTAGAACTGTTTAGGGCTTTATAGGGCAAAGCCAGCACTTTGACTTGTGCTTGGTAGCAGATTGGCAGCCAGTGGAGCTAAGCGGGGGTGGGGGTTATGCTCCCTGTACGCTGCTCCATTGAGCAAACTGGCTGCCACCTGTTGGACCATTTGGAGCTTCCAAACAGTCTTCAAAGGCAGCCCCATGTAGAACGCATTGCAGTAGTCTATACAGGATGTAACCAGAGCGTGGACTACTGTGACCAAGTTTGACTTCCCAAGGTACGGGTGCATCTGGCACACACGTTTTAATTGTCGTGATAACTTTTTAAAAAATGCAATTACAACGCCCACTCTCCACATACAAATGCTAGGCTGTTCTAAATTTCAGCTGTTACTGTTAACTGTATTTTTCAAATGACATTTCAAGCACCAACAGACCCAACCAAGGCTTACCTCAAATGTGTGGTCTAATCTGTAGACGGAGACAGAGTTCATTGCACTGACGATCTCCAGCACACCATTAAAATTATTCAGGTCTTGGAAAACCTGCAAGATTTCTATAATCCTGCTTAGCACCGCCACTCGCTCTTCAAAGTTTGTCATTTCCACGATGCACCTATTTTTTACAGAGTAGAGAAAAGGAAGAAGGGACAAATAGATTTTTGCTTAGCAGTCATTTTTTTCTAAATATCACACATGCATTTCTGTAATATCTCTACACTTGTGTTGATTTAAAATCACCCAGTTCCGCATGATGCAAAGCCACTTACTTTTCAAACCAAAGCGTAAGATTCGTTGTGTGCCGAATCATTTTCAGTAGATTTGGAGAGTTGATTTCCTTATCCTCTTTTGTCCACACGCTCCCCACAAGTTCAGATGGCTGCACAGCCCTGGAAACAGAAGGCAACAGAGGCCTATGAGATACAAGAAGCTGAAGCAGTTGAGGCATTTAGGGGACTGATAAATGGCAACCTGGAAGGGCCAACGTTGTATGTCAGCCTGTTCAGCCTGTGATTGTGTTGGATGATCATGTTGATTTGCACGATGGGAATGGGGATGACGTCACTGGATTGTTGTAGGTTTTTTTGAGCTATATGGCCATGTTCTAGAGGCATTCTCTCCTGATGTTTCGCCTGCATCTATGGCAAGCATCCTCAGAGGTAGTGAGGTCTGTTGGAACTAGGAAAAAGGGTTTATATATCTGTGGAATGACCAGGGGGGGGACAAAGGACTCTTGTCTGCTGGAGCTAGGTGTGAACAACTGACCACCTTGATTAGCATATAATGGCATGACAGGAAAGCACTAATGAATAGATTGATCTTGATGAGGTCGTAGCTTTAGATCGAGCTGATCGCTTGGAATTTAAGGTTCGAAGGAGTGTAAGAATCACTAGCAAGAGAGAGAGGGAGGCCAAGGGACAGAGGAACACCTTCATGTTTTCCAAAGGCTATTAAACAGGCTGTTTGAAAATACCCCCGTGTCAGAGCAACTTCTCGCTTCAGCCAAGAGACTTAGGATTTATCTTGCAGTTTTCATGTTCATGGTTTCAGGACTTTTGTCATGTTCTCATGGGACTTTGCCTTGCTTATATCTTTGTAGATCCTGTTTTCCAGTGTTACCTTATATTGATCTTTGGAACGATACTTTTGCCTTTTTGAACTTTTTATCTTTTACTTTAATAAACCATAAAGACTATTGCTTGTGTGCTGTTTGGAGTCTGAAGCAAGATGATTCTACTCTGAGGTGCTGTTGTGGCTGAGATGTTCTCTGATGATGAGGATGATGGGATTTAGATTCCTGGCTCTTTTTCTGTGCCTCAGATCTCTGGGCCTGCTTTTAGGTCTTTTTCTGAGGCTCCCGTAGACAGTGCAGAGTCAACACAGTGGTTCTCAGAAGAAAGGAATTTTAACGAAGTAGATAGCGAACAGGTGGAGAGACCTTTGCCTCCTTCCCACGCTGATAGTGAAAGTGCAGAAAGCCTTGATAATGACCTGACCCGGCAAGCCCGTCTTGATTTGCGGGTCAGGCGGAGTTTTCGCCTGGCTGGCAGACGAGAAGCCAGCTCGGGGAAAGGTCATCACAATGCTTTCATGTTGGTGAGAGCATAATGTTTTCATGTTAGAAAGGTATTTAGGCTTCTTGCAAATGAAGAGAAAGTGTCAGTTCAACATAGCTTGCTAGCCTGAAAGCTTCATGAAATAACCTTAGCTGGAAAGCAGCACGCTTGGGATTTCTTGCATTGTGATTCTTGGGGCAATGGTTTTATTGCTTGTATCATGGACTCTGTTTTGAACTTTGCCTAAAGAATTGTGCTTCCTGCTTTTACCTGAAGATCTTTGGAACTATAGTCTGCATTTAACCCAACTCTTTGGAACTTTGCAATGCTTATTCTGTATTTTGACTTGGAGTTTTTCCTCAATAAACTATAAAACTACAGCTCTTGTGTAGTGGTGTTTGGAAGCAAGGCGAAGCTTACTCTGAATTGCAACAGGTGCGACACTCAACCCATTCAACCTAGCTTGTGGCAGCCACAAAAAAAAAAGATTTTTTTTTTAGTAGAACAATTACTTTCAAAGTAAGGACCACACAATGAAACAGGAAATAACATTTTCAAACCAGGAACAGAACATTTTTCAAATTGTGTTACATAGTGTTACTCAAAATACAACTTGCACAAGGAAAGCGCTCTGGACATCACCTAACATGACGCAGGCCAACAAAACGGCGGCTTACCGGTAGAGATCGGATTCCAAGAGGGTCAGCTGCCGCGCGATCTCGATGGGATGCAGCGTCAGGAGGTCGAATGTTTCAAGCTGGCGGCTGATGTGCCACTCGATGGGGGGCAGGGGGCTTTCAAAGGTGATGTTGTGGCTGACGCCGTTGGCATGCGCTTGCTTTTTCCTCCTGATGATCTTAGCAATGGATTCCACCCACTTCTTCATGGATTTGCCTAAAAGACATTAACAGGATCAGTAGGAAGTTTGGGCAGACGCTTTGAAGCAGGCACGGGCAAACTTGGGCCCTCCATTATTAATCAGTAGCAGGAGGAGTCAGTTTTCTCTGGCAACAACCCTGACACTGATGTTTTCACTCCAATGGAATATGCTTTGTTTCTGCTGCTAAGAACTTAGTTCATCGTACGTTGTCTGATGGAAGACTGGTGTCTCTTTTGGGACTTTGTAAGAGACTTTAATTTGTGTCTGGATTAAGACTCCCGTGCTTTCTTTTGCACTTTTAAACTGCATTTGCTTATCCTTTGTGTTAAGTAAAGCATTTTTCTTTTACTTTCAACATTGTCTAAAGGCTGTTTTTGAAAGGCAATTCAGGACATGCGGCTACTTTGTGCTTGGTGTTCACGCAGTGTTTCCTAAATGTTAATGTCTGGTCTAAGGTGACGCCGAGATATTTAGGGTGGGAAATGATAAATGGAAACACGAAAGGCAGGCATGCATTAATACATTAGGCACGACACTGGGCAGAGTCTGCCTAACCAAAAAGCAACCTGGACAATTGCTGCCAGTGCTTCTCAGACTACTTGAGGCCTGGCAAACAGCACCAATTCTGTGCCCATTGAGTACCAATTGTTTCCCTCCCAGAAACTTACAAGAGACCGCTAGCCAATGAGGAGCACAGCTATAAATGTTTAAAGGTGAACTTTTTCTGGAGGAAGCAAGGCACAAACCCAGAGAATCCCAGAAAGCCTCAGATCTCTCTCGCCCAGTGCAATGTTTTCCTTTGTTATAACAGAAAGCGGATCAGAGAGGAAACTGACATCACGTGACTGGCTCGCAGCACTTGTAAATACCATTGTCTTCTGACATTACAAGCAGGCCCAGCCCAAGGGAGCTCTCAGGGCTTCACGAGAGATCCTCCAAGGCTCTACAAGCCAGCTGGGAATAAGGATCTGAGGAATTCAAGCCACATACCTCTTACAGTGGAAATAAACGTTTCCAGTCTATCGAGGAGCTCCTGGTCTCTTTCAAAGTCATAATAATGGTGCTCCACCCAGTGCCGAAAAACATTGAGTATCCTGGGGAGGGAGTTAAAAAAAGACAAGACATGAAGGGGAAAATTTCAGACCTAAACAGAGATCATATTGGAGTGTTGTGTGCATTCCAGGCTGCACGTCCATGTTCTAGTAGCATTTTCTTCCGACGTTTCGCCTGCATCTATGGCTGGCATATTGAGAAGAAAGAAAGTACTACCATCAGGAGTCCGCTGGTGGCGCAGTGGGTTAAACCACTGAGCTGCTGAATTTGCTGACCAAAAGGTTGGCGGTTTGAATCTGAGGAGCGGGGTAGCTCCTGCTCCTAGGCCCAGCTTCTGCCAAGCTAGCAGTTCGAAAACATGCAAAAGTAAGTACATCAATAACTACTGCTTCTTTTTTGGTTGTGTCAGGAGCGACTTGAGAAATTGCAAGTTGCTTCGGGTGTGCGAGAATTGGCCGTCTGCAAGGATGTTGCCCAGGGGACGCCCGGATGATTTGATGTTTTTTATCATCCTTGTGGGAGGCTTCTCTCATGTCCCCGTATGAGAAGCTGGAGCTGATAGAGGGAGCTCATCCGCCTCTCCCCGGATTCAAACCTGCGACCTGTCGGTCTTCAGTCCTGCTGGCACAGGGGTTTAACCCACTGCGCCACCGGGGGCTCCAGCTACTGCTTCTGTGGGAAGGTAACAGCGCTCCATGCAGACATGCTGGTCACATGACCTTGGAGGTGCATATGGGCAACACTGGCTCTTCGGCTTAGAAATGGAGATGAGCACCACCCACTGACATCACGTGACTGGCTCGCAGACTGGTTTCTAGTCGGACACGACTAGAAACCTTTACCTTTATACCAGTGTTTCTCAACCTTCCTAACACCACGGCCCCTTAACACAGTTCCTCATATTGTGGTGACCCCCAACCACAAAATTATTTTCGTTGCTACTTCATAACTGTAATTTTTCTACTGTTATGAATTGTGATGGGAATATCTGATATGCAAGATGTATTTTCATTCACTGGACCAAATTTGGCACAAATACCCAATACGCCCAAATTTGAATACTGGTGAGGTTGGGGGGAGGGGCACTGATTTTGTCACCTGGGAGTTGTAGTCGCTGGGATTTATACTTCACCTACAATCTAAGAGCATTCTGAACTCCACCAATGATGGAATTGAACCAAACTTGGCACACGGAACTCCCATGACCAACAGAAAATACTGGAAGGGCTTGGTGGGCATTGACCTTGTGTTTTGGAGTTGTAGTTCACCTGCATCCAGAGAGCGTTGTGGACTCCAAGAATGATGGATCTGGACCAAATTTGGCACGAATATTCAATATGCCCAAATGTGAACACAGGTGGAGTTTGGGGAAAAATAGACCTTGACATTTGTGAGTTGTAGTTGCTGGCATTTATAGTTCACCTAAAATTAAAGAGCATTCTGAACCCCACCAATGATAGAATTGGGCCAAACTTTCAACACAGAAGCAACGACCAACAGAAAATACTGTGTTATCTGATGATCTTTGGCGACCCCTCGTGATCCCCTCAGGGGTCCCGACCCCCAGGTTGAGAAACACTGCTTTATACTATTATTTACTTATTTATTTACAGTATTTATATACCGTCTTTCTCACCCTTGGGGGGACTCAAAGTGGGGACTCATCAGATCCTCTCAAGATGCCATGCAGAGATGTGGGCAAAATGTCAGGAGGAGAAAATGCTGCTAGAACACGGTCATACAGTATGTTTCATTATAATGTTTGATTTTATTGTTGCTGATGTTTTTATATTGTATATTGTAATTGTGTCCTTGGTGGCACTGAATTCTTGCCTTGTAAACCGCCTCGAGTTGCTGGAAGGCTGAGAGGGGCGGTATAGAAATGTACTAAATAAATAAATACAGCCTGGAAACCACACAATACCCCAGTGATTCCGGCCATGAAAGCCTTCGACAATCCAGAGATAGTCTTATTGTCCAACCAACAATAAAGCAGAAGGGGTGGAAAGGGTGAGGCTTCCTGCTTTGCTGCAACACGGATGGATCTAGAAGCCACAGAACTGAACAGAAACCCCTGAAGTTCTCCAACATGTCAAACTCCCAAGAGACCACACCCAGGACTTTCAGAAGGGAAATAGAAAGAGGACAGGAGAAGCTGGGATTTATCAATGGGCTGAGTCCTATTGCCACCATCATCTTTCAGGCTCCGCAAGGCCCATTCTGCCACAGCAAGGACAGAAAAGAGCAGAACCTAAAACATGGTTCCACAGAAACAATAAGATGATTTCAGCTGGGCTATTTTTTTTTTTTAAAGTGTTGCAAGCTCTTTGAAGTCTCTTGCTGGGAAGGAAGTAGGGTGTACATACATTTATGAAAGAAATAATAACAATTAGAAATCAGTACAAGAGAAGGTTTGAGTGTGCTTTGTGCTTCTCCCCTGGCCATGATCCCACTGCTGGGTCTTTTCCACCTCATGCGACAGAAAAAAGAAGGAAGCTCAAACCTGAGTTGCACTGGCTGGACGTATTCCTTGCGAAACCGCTTAAGGTCTGCACTGATGGGCTGCTCTCCCTTCTCAATGGCCAGCCGATCGGCTTCTGTGGGCTCAGGCTCTGGGATCTCAAATCTAGTAATAAGAATAAGAACAATAAAGTTGGAACACGAACAACAGGAGCCCCAGAAGACAAAGAAAGGAGCATGGCATTAAAGCACACTCTGGCATATACTGTCACCAGCTCTTCATTTTCACAGACTTCGTGCCCATGGATCCAAACTCTGAACATTAAAAAGAAACACACACACACACACAAAGAAAACCCTAATTTTGCCACTTTCCACAAGGAACACAATTTCACTACTCCATTGTATTTATTTATTATTTATTTACTTCATTTATATACCGCTTTTCTCAGCTCTAAGGTGACTCATAATACATAATGTACATAATACATAATGTACATAATGTACATAATGTTATTTGTTATTTTATATATGAAAAACTTGTGCGCCAGCTGCGCCCGTATCTTGGGAAGTCTGACTTGGCCACGGTAGTCCACGCGCTGGTTACATCCCGTATAGATTACTGCAACGCTCTCTACGTGGGGTTGCCTATGAAGACTGCTCGGAAGCTACAAATGGTCCAACGATCGGCAGCCAGGTTGTTAACAGGAGCGGCACTCAGGGAGCACACCACTCCTCTGCTGCGCCAGCTCCACTGGCTGCCAATTTGCTACCGAGCATAATTCAAAGTGCTGGCTTTAGCCTTTAAAGCCCTAAACGGTTCTGGCCCGACCGCATCACTAGGACATTAAGATCGTCCGGGGAGGCCCTGCTCTCGATCCCGCCTCACAAGCACGGCTGGTGGGGACGAGAGACAGGGCCTTCTCAGTGGTGGCCCCTCGGCTGTGGAACACCATTCCCGCAGACATTAGATCGGCCCCCTCCCTGCTGGCGTTCAGGAGAAGAGTGAAGACCTGGCTCTTTGAACAGGCGTTTAATTAAGCAGTACAACCAACTGATTGATCTTGGAACTGGAATAATGGACGAGGAGATCGGATTATGACTTTACTGATGAGACGTGATGGATTAGTTATATAGATGTATAGATGTTATATTGATGTACTGTTGTATTGCCATATCGATGTAGTTGCTTTAGTTACTGTTTTAAATGCCAATGTTGTGCACTTTGTATATTGTCCTGGCTGTAAACCGCACTGAGTCGCCTACGGGCTGAGAGAGTGCGGTATACAAGTAAAGTAAATAAATAAATAAATATCTTGTTATGATTTTTTTTTGCTGTTTTGTGTCTAATTATGTTGTATTATTTTTGAGCTTGGCCTCATGTTAGCCGCCCTGAGTCCCCTTTGGGACTAATAATAGAATTTATTGTTATTATTATTATTATTATTATTATTATTATTATTAATGGATTTTTGTATCCAAGGAGGGTCCTGAAACCAAATCTCTGTGGATACCAAAACCCCATATTATTATCATTATTATTATTATTATTATTATTATTTTACTGACACAAAAGCACAGCAAATGAGATCTATATGCTGGATTTTGTATCACAAAATCACAAGTCGAACACTTCCCAAGCGTCTAGGACTGTGTGATGTATTTTCGAATGATGTGCGCAGATCCAAGTCAGGTGGCCTTTTGCAGCTGACCGTGATTCTGTCAGTGTTTATTGTTTCCAAATAATAACAATAACAATAATCATAGGCAGACTACAAGCTGAGGCACAACACCATTGCTCAGATGATTCATTGGAACTTGAGCAACAAATACTATCTGCCTGCGACAAAGAACTGATGGGATCACAAGGCTGAAGAAGTTACGGAAAATGAAAACGCCAAACTCCTCTGGGACTTCTGGATTCCGACTGAGTTTTGGAGCATAATACTCCTGACCTCACAATCATGTTAAAAAAACAAAGTATGGGTTGTCGATGTCTCAATCCCAGGTGACAGCAGGATTGCAGAGAAACAACTGGAAAAGCTGACACGATATGAGGATTTAAAAATCAAACTGCAAAGACTCTGGCACAAGCCAGTAAAGGTGGTCCCAGTGGTGATCGGCACACTGGGTGCAGTGCCTAAAGACCCTGGCCTGCACTTAAGCACAATCGGCACTGACAAGTATACTATCTGCCAGCTGCAAAAGGCCACCTTAGTGGGATCTGCACGCATTATTCGCCGATATATCACACAGTCCTAGACACTTGGGAAGGGTCCAACATGTGATCCAATACAACAGTCAGCAGAGTGATCTTGTTTGCTGTGGACCCATCTTGTTGTGTTTCAAATAATAATAATAATTACTATTTGGAAACAATAAACATTGACAAAATCACGATCTGTTTAAAAACTCGGCTTATACTTGAGTATATGTTGTTGTTGTTGTTCATTCGTTCAGTCGTCTCCGACTCTTCATGACCTCATGGACCAGCCCATGCCAGAGCTCCCTGTCGGCCGTCACCACCCCCAGCTCCTTCAAGGTCAGTCCAGTCACTTCAAGGATGCCATCCATCCATCTTGCCCTTGGTCGGCCCCTCTTCCTTTTGCCTTCCACTTTCCCCAGCATCATTGTCTTCTCCAGGCTTTCCTGTCTCCTCATGATGTACTTGAGTATATAGGGCGATAATTATAATTATAATGATTATTATTATCACCCTATATACTCATGTATAAGTCACGTTTTCCAACCCTTTTTAGGCACTGGATTTAGGAACATGAAAGGCACTGCAGACTTCTTCATCCAGAGAAGTCAGCCATAGCAGAGCACCTGATGAACCAACCTGGACACAGCCTATTATTTGAGAACACAGAAATGCTGGACCACTCTCACAACCACCATGTCAGACTACACAGAGAAGCCCTTGAAATCCACAAGAAGCATGTGGACAATTTCAACAGAAAGGAGGAAACCAGGAAAATGAATAAAATCTGGCTACCAGTATTTAAAAAAACTCTAAAATTAGGACAGTAAATTAAGAACAATACTCTGAAAACAGGGGAATTCCAGACATCACACAATCAGGGTCAGCGAACACCTCCCAGCCAGGCCTTGAAGCTGGAGGGCTTCGCAAGTTTGCAATGCTAATTAAGGTGGCCAATTGCAACATTCACACTCGCCTCCAACAGACAAGAGTTCTTTCTAACACCCTGGATGTTATTCCAAAGAGATATAAACCCCACTTGCCTAGTTTCCAACAGACCTCACATTTTAGTCGCCCTCCAGAGGAGGGTGACTAAAATGATCAAGGGTCTGGAGAACAAGCCCTATGAGGAACGGCTTAAGGAGCTGGGCATGTTTAGCCTGAAGAAGAGAAGGCTGAGAGGAGATATGATAGCCATGTATAAATATGTGAGAGGAAGCCACAGGGAGGAGGGAGCAAGCTTGTTTTCTGCTCCCTGGAGACTAGGACGCGAAACAATGGCTTCAAACGACAAGAAAGGAGATTCCATCTGAACATGAGGAAGAACTTCCTGACTGTGAGAGCCGTTCAGCAGTGGAACTCTCTGCCCCGGAGTGTGGTGGAGGCTCCTTCTTTGGAAGCTTTTAAACAGAGGCTGGATGGCCATTTTTCAGGGGTGATTTGAATGCAATATTCCTGCTTCTTGGCAGAATGGGGTTGGACTGGATGGCCCAGGAGGTCTCTTCCAACTCTTTGATTCTATGATTCTGGGGATGCCTGCCATAGATATGGGCAAAACATCAGGAGAGAATGCTTCCGGAACAGGGCCATACAGCCCAGAAAACTCACAGCAACCCAATGATTCCGGCCACAAAAGCCTTTGACAGCACATTGGTAACCTCATTTTGGCAATGCAAGTTCTGCTTTCAATATAGTCTAAAATGTGCGCCAGACCACACAATCCTTTGAGAACAAATGACTTAATTGAAGCTTTTAATGGATTGTTTAGAACAGAGAGACTTGGAAGCTCTTAGAGAAATGTGTTCGGAGCTGCCGGCATTTAAAGTAACTGCTGTGTGCCACTGAAATTGGGGCTCCGTCCTGGAAATGCAACTAAACCAAACCAACGACAAAGCAAGAAGGCGGGTCATTTCACTCACCGTTCTATCAACAAACTTAGGAGTTCTTGAGGCTTACAAAAGGAGCGATACGTGGTAAGAAAGGTACGTACAAAATTAGGATCTAGAAAGGGAAACAGGAATGAGAGTGAGAAAGTGGGATACAAACACTATAAACATACAAACAAACAAACTAAGCATTTCTGATTGCCTTTAATGAACAAGCCCCTTCTTGTAGGCCAGAGGTGGGGGACTGCAGCCAGTTCAGGGGGGTCGCTTTTATGTCCTGGGACCCCTTCAGTATTAAACTAGGCAACCCAAAGTGGGTGTTTTTGATGTTAAACAGTACAAGGTCCATATTCTGAGAAAATGGCCTGCACAATAATAATAATAATAATAATAATAATAATAATAATAATAATAATAATAATAATAATATAGTAATACAGGTAAGACAGGCGTGGGCAAACTTTGGCATCGCTCTGGGTATTTTGGACTTCAATTCCCCGAGGATGTTAGGAATTGTATAACAATAATAATACTTATAGGTTCTTGTAGGTTTTTTCGGGCTATAGGGCCATGTTCTAGAGGCATTTCTCCTGACGTTTCGCCTGCATCTATGGCAAGCATCCTCTGAGGATGCTTGCCATAGATACAGGTGAAACGTCAGGAGAAATGCCTCTAGAACATGGCCCTATAGCCCGAAAAAACCTACAAAAACCTATTGATTCCAGCCATGAAAGCCTTCGACAATACAATAATACTTATAGCCTGTTATTTCTTAAACATATATTTAAGAGCTAGGCTCCTATCTATTAAATATATAACCGTAACAATAACAATACTTATAGCAAGCTATCTCTTGAATATATAACAATAGCAATAACAATACTTATAGCCTGTTATCTCTTAAATATATAACAATAACGATACTTATAGCTTGCTATCTGCTAAATATATAACAATAAGAGTGGCAATAACAATGCTTATAGCCCACTATCTCTTAAATATATAACAATAACAATACTTATAGGCTCCTATCTCTTGAATAGATAACAGTAGCAATAACAATACGTATAGCCTGCTATCTCTTAAATATGTAAAAATAATAATACTTATAGCCCACAATCTCCTAAATATATAAATATAACAATAGCAATAACAATACTTATAGCCTGTTATCTCTTAAATATATAACAATAATAGTAATAACAATACTTATAGCCTGTTATCTCTTAAATATATAACAATAACAATGACAACAATGCTTATAGCCCACTATCTCTTAAATATATATCAATAATAATAACAATGCTTATAGCACGCTATCTCTTAAATATATAACAATAACAATGGCAATAACAATGCTTATAGCCCACTATCTCTTAAATATATAAAAATAATAATACTTATAGCCTACAATCTCCTAAATATGTAACAATAACAATAGCAATAACAATACTTAGGTTGCTATCTCTTAAATATATAACAATAACAATAACAACAATGCTTATAACCCACTATCTCTTAAATACCGTATATTCTGGCATATAAGACGACTGGGCATATAAGACGACCCCCAACTTTTCCAGTTAAAATATAGAGTTTGGGATATACTCACCGTATAAGACTACTCCTCTTCCAACACACACCCTGAAAGGGCCCTAAGTGATTATAAACTGACTAAACAACTTTGTTTTGGTCTCTACATTGTCATTTATTGCAGCTTGCAACTCTTTGCCTCTTTCTACGTTGCCATATAATGCAGCGTATAAGACTGCTCCCGCATATAAGATGACTCTCATGCATAAGGCTACTCCCGCGTATAAGACGACCCCTGACTTTTGAGAAGATTTTCTTGGGTTAAAAAGTAGTCTTATACGCCAGAATATACAGTATATATCAATAATAATAACAATACTTATAGGCTCCTATCTCTTAAATATGTAACAATAGCAATAACAATACTTACAGCCTGCTATCTTTTAAATATATAACAACAACAATATTTATAGCCTGCTATCTCTTAGACCAGTGCTTCTCAAACTGTATTCCTCCAGGTATTTTGGACTTCAGCTCCCAGAATTGTGGGAGTTGAAGTCCAAAACACCTAGAGTGATGCCAAAGTTTGCCCCCGCCTTCCCAAGCCCCACAAAGCATGTAATCCAGGTACCTGCATACATGTGGTAGGTGAGCCTCTCAATGAGTTTCACCACGGTGCCGCCTTTGATCAGGGGGATCCCATTCCTGCTCTGGAGGTTGTCCTCGAAGACGATGTTCTCCTCGGAGTCTTCCACCGCAAAGCGATAGACGCTGGGGCTGGGCAGGCGGAGGGGCTGCTCGTTCTCCTCCTGCAACAACACGGCGTCCAGCATGCGGTCCAGGGTGCTGCGGTACTGGAGGGAGATCAGCGCCGCCATCCAGTTGTTCTTCTCTTCGGCGGACTTGGCAGCAAAGATGAAGCTGCTCTCGTCCTTTGGGACCAGTTCGAAAGCGTTCCTGTAATCGCACGTATCGTCCTTATCTACGATATGGACTTTCCTCATGACGATTTTCTCCTTGAGCCGGTACTCTGCGTTGCTGTAACCCGGGAGGCGCGACTGGCCGTGGTTGGCTTTGCAGCTGATCATCAAGCCGTCGAAGAGGAAGACGTGCCGCTCGTGCTTGGCCCCGACTCTGGCCAGCGTCCCCTCCATGATGAATTCGTTGCAGCACTGGCCGATGTCTTTGCCTTCCCACCCGTCAATGTTTTTCTGGATCTCGTTCATCTTTTTAATGGCCAGGTGCTTGCTTCGGACTTGGCGGGTGTAGAACCAAAACACTGGCTCCCTAAAAAACACATTTTTTTATTAAGCGTATAGCGTTTCCAACATTGGCAAGCTGTAAATGGGAAACAATGATCCAGGATCAAATCACTTTTGATTTAAATGACATATCCTGACCAAGCTGGTCACCACTTTACATGGCTTTTCATGGGAAACTATTTTCGAAAGCAAAGTATACCAAAGAACAGAATCTATCTCAGTCTAACAGGAACATCACAAATATTACCTTTTTGTAATACATCTTGCTTTAACACTGAATATGGGGTTAAGGAGAAGCTACAACAGGCACGGCCAAACTTCAGCCCACCAGGTGTTTTGGACTTGAACTCCCACAATTCCTAACAGTAAGCTGTTAGGAATTGTGGGAGTTAAAGTCCAAAACACCTGGAGGGAGGGCTGAAGTTTGTCCATGCCTGAGCTCCACAACAACTTGATTAAGAACAGACACTCCAGTCTGTTCTTAATCAAGTTTTTGTGGTTCAGACAGATGAAGAAGAGGGGATTGGGGTTTCAGAGCCTGGGAGAGGGGTGGATGGTTCATTCTATGCGGGAAATTAGGAGATTTTAGAGCAAGACTCTGTGAGACAGGACTTGAAACTGGAACTGTTTTGGAGTCCAGCAGATAGGGAGATTACCTTTTGCCAACAAGGAGCTTAGCTACCCCTGAAAAAAACCTAGCAGACCAAGTTAGCTCCTCTGAAGGAACAGATGGGCTAGACAGAGATTGATCTTAGGGAGAAAAATATCAAGCTCAGGAAATCCAAAAGACTCCATGAGAAAGAAGCGCAGAGAAAGTTTCACAAGCCAGAAAGTCAAGATCAAAGAAATGCCTTCCTGTTTTGCGGCCCTTAAATTAGAGAGCATCTGGTTGAGAATTCAGATCAGGCAACGCTATGTAATAGTAAGGATATCAAGTCCTGTTTCCAGTTCATGTTTTGTCTAAGTTCCTGGGAATTTCGATTCATGTTTTGAGAAATTCTTATAGCCTTGGTTCTTCTGGATTCATGTACAAGTTTTGATTCTTGTTTGCTTGGATTATGCTCATGTTATGATTGTTTTCCTGTGCTATTTGGATTATTGCCTTTGAAGTGTTTTACTCCTCATCAGCTTGGTTGGGTTTTTACTTATTGCCTACTTTTTATTTATTTATTTATTTATTTACTTACTGTATTTGTATACCGCCTTTCTCAGCCTATCGGAGACTCAAGGCAGTTTCCAACAAAACAGTATACACAGTATCATAGAACATTTTAAAACAGTTCAATTACATAAACCACAACAACAATAAAAACATCATTAGCATCTCCTTATTGTCAAGCATTGTCCAGTTCCATCATCAATCGTCCATTCCTATGTCATTTATCCATATCCGTTACTCTGTGTTTGAGAACGGTTCCTCAAACAGCCATGTTTTGACTTGCTTCCGAAACGTGAGGAGGGAGGGAGCAGATCTAATCTCTCTAGGGAGGGCGTTCCATAGCTGGGGGGCCACTGCTGAGAAGGCCCTGTCTCTCGTCCCCGCCAAACGTACCTGAGACGAAGGCGGGACCAAGAGCAGTGCCTCCCCGGACGATCTCAAGCTCCTTGATGGTTTTCTGATTATTTATTTATTTACTTCACTTGTATACCGCTCTTCTCAGCCATCAGGCGACTCAGAGCGGTTAACAACCAGTATCAGCAACACGGTACAAAAATCATTAGTCATTTAAAACAGTAATATCAATTAATTAGCATCAAAAACATCATTACAATACAGCGATACAACAATACAGCAAAACAACAATCCATCACGTCTCATCAATAGAATCAGCATCCGATCTCGTTGTCCATTAATCCATATTTCAGTAATCAATCAATTGCACTGTTTAGTTAAACGCCTGTTCGAAGAGCCAGGTCTTCACTCTCTTCCGGAATGCCAATAAGGAGGGGGCCAATCTGATGTCTGTAGGAAGGGCGTTCCACAGCCGGGGGGCCACTACTGAGAAGGCCCTGTTTCTCGTCTCCGCCAGGCGTGCTTGTGAGGCCGGTGGGACCGAGAGCAGGGCCTCCCCAGACGATCTTAACGTCCTTACCTGTTGGATTTTACCTTTCTTATTCCTCCTGGTGGGTCCCCCCCCCCCTTTTATATGTATTCTCTTCAACAAACTGTTTTACTAATGCTTTTGGATTCCTGGTTGGTGGTAAGGGCAAGGTGAACTCTGGCTGGGGTGCAACACAAGTAAGCCCATATGATGCCTATGCTTAAAGAGTATGCCTTTTTAAACATTAAGGTGTAAAATCCTGTTGGCTTTCCGATGGCATTGCAATGCACTTTCCTATGCCACGTGCATGGAGGAAAACGGTGGAAGCCACAAGGAAATGTAGTTCCCAGTTTTCAATTTTGTTACATCATCTTATTCACATATATGTTTAAAATGAGTATAGCTGTTATATGTTGTTAGCTGCTGATCATATGTTGTTATATGTTGATCACCTGGGAAGGAAGGAATCCCACTGGAGCATTGCAGCGCACCCAAATACCTGGGATTCACTCTGGACCATGCTCTGACCTATAAGAAGCACTGCCTGAACATCAAGCAAAAAGTGGGTGCTAGAAACAATATCATATGAAAGCTGACTGGCACAACCTGGGGATCACAACCAGATACAGTGAAGACATCTGCCCTTGCGCTATGCTACTCTGCTGCTGAGTATGCATGCCCAGTGTGGAACACATCTCACCATGCTAAAACAGTAGATGTGGCTCTTAATGAGACATGCTGCATTCACCACACTAAAACAGTGGATGTGGCTCTTAATGAGACATGCCACATTATCACGGGGTGTCTGCGCCCTACACCACTGGAGAAATTACACTGCTTAGCCGGTATTGCACCACCTGACATCCGCCGGGAAGTAGCAGCCAATAGTGAAAGGACCAAGGCAGAGACATCTCCAGCTCATCCCGTTTGGGTATCAGCCAGCACGTCAACGACTTAAATCAAGACATAGTTTTCTTAGATCTACAGAGACACTCGCTGGAACACCCCAGCAAGCGAGAGTCCAAAAGTGGCAGGCTCAAACCCAGAACCTCAACCAATGGCTGATACCAAATGAGAGACTCCCCCTGGGCACACAGAGGACTGGGCGACTTGGAAGGCGCTGAACAGACTGCGCTCTGGCACCACGAGATGCAGAGCCAACCTTCAGAAATGGGGCTACAAAGTGGAATCCTCGACATGCGAGTGTGGAGAAGAGCAAACCACAGACCACCTGCTGCAATGCAACCTGAGCCCTGCCACATGCACAATGGAGGACCTTCTTGCAGCAACACCAGAAGCACTCCAAGTGGCCAGATACTGGTCAAAGGACATTTAATCAACTACCAAACTCACATTTTTTGTATTTTGTCTGTTAGTTTGCTTTATTTTTAGAAATCATAGAATCATAAAATCAAAGAGTTGGAAGAGACCTCATGGGCCATCCAGTCCAACCCCCTGCCAAGAAGCAGGAATATTGCTTTTCAAATCACCCCTGACAGATGGCCATCCAGCCTCTGTTTAAAAGCTTCCAAAGAAGGAGCCTCCACCACACTCCGGGGCAGAGAGTTCCACTGCTGAACGGCTCTCACAGTCAGGAAGTTCTTCCTCATGTTCAGATGGAATCTCCTCTCTTGTAGTTTGAAGCCATTGTTCCTTTGTCCTAGTCTCCAGGGAAGCAGAAAACAAGCTTGCTCCCTCCTCCCTGTGGCTTCCTCTCACATATTTATACATGGCTATCATATCTCCTCTCAGCCTTCTCTTCTTCAGGCTCAACATGCCCAGTTCCCTAAGCCGCTCCTCATAGGGCTTGTTCTCCAGACCCTTGATCATTTTAGTCGCCCTCCTCTGGACACATTCCAGCTTGTCAATATCTCTCTTGAATTGTGGTGCCCAGAATTGGACACAATATAATTGACTGGCTGCCCTGACACGAGAAATAAAGCTGCACTGAGTCCCCATAGGGGAGATAGCACAGGATACAATATTACACTTTATTATTGTTATTTCTCTAGGACCCCCTAGGTCCTTCAGTGTGACTTTATGGTTGATTTTTGACAGAGGTTCACCACAGAATCATGCTGGAGGGCTTAGAATGTCCTACAGAGGAGTTCTCTGATCAGAAACAACCCTTTTGCAGGGATCTTGCACTCTTAACCCCAGCAAATATGCAAGCCTTGTTGCCCTGCCCTCCTTTCACTACTGCCACAAGTTCTTCCACTATGATAGTCCTTGCTGCATAGCAAAGGGACCCAATGCAGAAAAATTGTGCTCACAGAATGAAGCAAAGTCCTCGGCTATAACTTCCCTTCCTGGTAGGCCCAAATGTTATCTAACTTGCTACTGCTTCTAAAAGCACCAAATTCTAGCCCGTCTATCCAATGCTTTGGGCTGATTTTCTTACCCGGGCCGGCGTCGAGGTGAGTGTTTGTTGTATATACGTTCCATGCTACACTGGAGATTTAAGAGCGCTGTGATGGCTTGCTTCAGGCACTCGCAATCTTCTTGGTCTTCACTACATTCTTGTAATTGCTGAAAGGACAAAGGCATGAGTTCCATCAGGCATGAGCTACTCCTGAGGCAAATAAAGATGCACATAATATTCCAAGAGAGAGCCAGAGTAGTGTAATAACTAAGAGAGCTGGACTAGAATTCTGGAGGACAGGGTTTGCAGCTCTGCTTAGCCATGAAAATCCTTGGGGTGTTCACACTCTTTCAGCCTCAGAGGAAGGCAAGAGACTCTCTGCAATGCGAAGGAAACGCTGTGATAGGCTTGCCTCAGAGTTGCCACAAGTCAGAAATGACTTGAAGGCACGGAACAAGGTGGAAACGACATAGAACCAGCTGTGTGTCTGAGGCTGCAGATCAGGCATGTGCCAACTTGGACCCTCCAAGTTCAATTCCCACAATTCCTAACAGCCATTGAAGTCCAAAACACCTGGAGGGTCCAAGTTGCTGCAAGTTACACTCCAGGCCTATGACCACCGCACCACACAAGAGTCCAGGAATAGAAGCCAACGGTTTGTTTATTGTAGAAACATATAAAAATCAAGAATAAGAAAGGAAGATACACAATCCAAAAAAAAAAAAAAAGTTCAGCAACAAGGTTCAGCAAAAAAGGTTCAGCTTGGTGATAACCAAGCAATAACCCAAATATCTTATAAAGTTCAAGAGGTGACAAAGTCCAGGAACAGCCAGAAATCACAGATACAGCATAAGTCCACAATCAAGAAGGTATAACTAATAAAACACGAACAGGAGCACATGAACAGGAACATAGAATACTTCCAGGATATTAAATCCAAAATCAAAGTTTGACTTGAACCAGGAACAAGAGAACTCAGGCTTAGCTTCTCACTCTAACACAGCACGGTCTGAACTGATCTTAAGAGAACAACTGGTTTAATAGACACCCATGAAATCATTTCGTTTCCCATGAATTTCCTTCACAGGTTTCCCATGTAATCTGTCATGTATCATGCTCCGCAGTTGATGGTGGTTGGTGGTGGCAGACCTAGCAGTTGGTGATGGAAGTGTTAATGTAAGTCTTAGTTCTAAAGGGTTGAATAATCTCTAAGTAAGTGTTTATGGGTGAAAGCAATTAAGGGTGGAGGCATGCAAGAGATAGGTTGCAGCTGGGTGTTCCTGGATATAAGGAGCTAACCTTGGGACTGATCTTTGGGAGAAAAATATTTGTCTTATCTTGGTGGTAGATGCTGCTGGTTTTCCTCCAGGTTTCTGGATTTTTGGTGTCCTGACCTGTCTCCTGAACTCTTGGAACCCTGGAACCTTGAATCTTTGGACTGGTTTTTTACTACGGTATAGACTCTTGATCCCTGGACTTTGCTCATTGAGCTCTCAGCATTTGACCACTGGACTAGATCCTTTGACTATGGTGTAGTGTTTGCTATCAGTTTTTGTTTTATATTCTGTGGCTGAGTGCTATTTTTATGTTTTATATTTTGGACTATTAAACAGCCACAAAGTAAGTGCTGTTTTAATTAAACTGTTTGATATAAACTGGGTGTTTGCTTGATTCACCTCTGCCTTAGAGCCCTGGCATCGTGACATAATCTCTCTGAATGACACAATCTATTTCCGGCTCTAATTTGTGAACGAAGACTTTTGTTGATCTCCATAGCTACAGGTGGATTCCCATGCAAGCCCTCCTTATCGCTGAGCTCTTCACTCAATTCCTTGTCTGCTGTTGCAACTTCTGACTCCCCTGACAGCCCTTGAGGCACTGCCCTGTCCAAGCCAACTTTCTTACAGAGGGAACCATAATTTCCCAGACCTGAATTTCCCACACTTGAGAGCCCATTGCTTTGTGCCATAGGAAAGCTCGCAATCCTCTCTAAATCATCAGTTAAACCATCAGCCTTTGGTGGCTGATATAAAACATTCACATGCCTGCTGTAGATCTTATTATTCAGCTCTGTAGTAAATAGTTTTCTTTGACTATGACACTGTCTATCATATTACTTTCCTCAGTACCAGTTAACAGGCAGAAGAGTATGCCTATTTACACAATTATAGCTATGAATCATGTGGTTTTTGAAAATAAAATGTGGGTTGCTGTGAGTTGTTTGGGCTGTTTTTTGGCCATGTTGCAGCAGAATTTTCTACTAACATTTCACTTGCATCTGTGGCAAGCATCCTCAGAGGTTCTGGCAGTATACACTCCACTTGTTTCACTATCAACAGAACCTCTGAAGAAAGATGCCAGGTGAAAGTGGAACATTAGCAGAAAATGCCAGTGGAAGAAAGATGCCAGGTGAAAGTGGAACATTAGCAGAAAATGCCAGTGGAACATGGCCATAAAGCCTGGAAAATCACAGCAACCCAGTGATTCTGGCCATGAAAGCCTTCGATAACATATATTGTGGTGCCCTACTGATGTATTTATGATAAAGCAAGATCTCTGAGCAATTAAAATTACAGCTAATCTGCATGACATGTGAGGCTTACAAATAAAAACAAAACATCGTAACCTTTTTTGAACTGCAAACAGAAGAGGAACAAGTCCTACGGAAATGAACTGATGCAGCTGAGTATAATTTGGAGCAAGCTGTATTTATTTTGAGAGGGATTCTGTAGAGAAGGACTATCAAACTTCAGACCTCACTAAATAAGTTTGGACTTTTAGCCTTCTCTAATTTCCCTGGACACTTTGGACTCCACCTCACGACCCCAGCCCAAATAAACAGAAATGAGGCAAAAGGTGTGACACTCTTCCCTGCCCATCTATTTGGTAAAGTTCCAAACTCCAACTTAAGTTTAAACGATTCCCTTGAGTTCTGCTTTATTCTGAAGAGCATCTGTTTACCTGTAATACTTCAAAGTAGTGCAAACAGTGGTATACGGGAACCAACATCAGGCGTGGGAGGACATACTGGACTGCTTCTTTAAAGCCATCAGCAATCGACTGGAGGAGAAAGAAAGACTTATTTCAGCGGTTGCCATTTGAAAGATGGGAAAGAACACAAGCAACATTCAAAATTGTACCAATTTTATAACCAAGTTGCTTCCTGTGGGACAGACTCAAAACAGCAGGTTTTTCAAGATGACTTTCAGAGTGGTACAATGGGCAAAGTACGTCAAGATATTTTTCTGAACATCTGAACCAGTTAAAACTGAACATTTGACACTCTTTGTGATATTATACATTTTTCTCAGGAGGAGGGGGTGGTTCACAGTATCATAGGCTGCAGACAGGTCTATGAAGACAGCTCCTGTGATGTATAATATCACAAAATGTATAATATCACAAAGGACTACCACCTCACCTGCCTCATAGGAAACCTGCTACAAAACAGGAGCTTTTTTGTTGAGTTCCAGGGCCAGAGAAGTAGATGGCGGAAACAGAAGAACGGCTTGCCTCAGGGGAGCGTGCTTGCTCCATCTATGTTCAACATCTACACAAATGACCAGCCACTGCCAGAAGGGACAGAAAGTTTCATCTATGCTGATGACCGTGCCATTACTGCTCAAGCAGGGAGTTTTGGGATGGTAGAACAGAAGCTTTCCGAAGCTCTAGGTGCTCTTACTGCCTATTACAGGGAAAACCAGCTGATCCCCAACCCATCTAAAACACAGACATGTGCCTTTCATCTCAAGAACAGACAAGCATCCCGAGCTCTGAAGATCACCTGGGAAGGAATCCCACTGGAGCATTGCAGCACACCCAAATACCTGGGAGTCACTCTGGACCGTGCTCTTACCTACAAGAAGCACTGCCTGAACAACAAGCAAAAAGTGGGTGCTAGAAACAATATCATACGAAAGCTGACTGGCACAACCTGGGGATCACAACCAGACACAGTGAAGACATCTGCCCTTGCGCTGTGCTATTCTGCTGCTGAGTACGCATGCCCAGTGTGGAACACATCTCACAACGCTAAAACAGTGGATGTGGCTCTTAATGAGACATGCCGCATTATCACGGGGTGTCTGCGCCCTACACCACTGGAGAAATTACACTGCCAAACTGTTGCCCTGACTCGCCTTCAGGTTTTGAAAGGCGGGATAAATAAAATAAATAAATAAATAAAAATAACAAGCAATGTTGGCCTCCGAAGAAAGCTCCCCAAGTTTCACACATCCAACAAACCCCTCCTCAAAGTCTTACTTGATGCCTTGACACTTCTGATTCAGGAAAATGTGTCCCTGCCATTCCTGCCCACACGTCTAAATACACACAAACATACACATACACTTACCTGGAAATGTAAAGCCACGGCAGGTTTGGCCATCAAATGATTAAAATGTTCATGATATTGCGGAGAAAGGATATCCTGGGACAAGGTTTCATATGGGTCGAAGGCCTGTTCCTAGGAAAGGAGGGCAAATATTCCAGGTTAACTTGCACCTTGGCTGAAGGAACTATACCTTTATAGGGTTCTTGTAGGTTTTTTCGGGCTGTATGGCCATGTTCTAGAGGCATTCTCTCCTGACATTTCGCCTGCATCTATGGCAGGCATCCTCAGAGGTAGTGAGGTCTGTTGCAACTAGGAAAAAGGGTTTATATATCTGTGGAATGACCAGGGTGGGACATATAACTCTTGCCTGCTGGAGCTAGGTGTGAATGTTTCAGCTGGCTACCAGTATTAAAAACTCTAAAATTACAACAGCAAACAGAAGGAAAACAATCCGGGACATCTAATCACCTCTGAACAAAAGATTGCTCCAGGCACTGTCAGGCCATCAAATGCTAATCAAGGTGGTCAGCTGAAACATTCACAACTAGCTCCAGCAGACAAAAGTCCTTTGTCACACCCTGGTCATTCCACAGATATATAAACCCTTTTTTCTAGTTCCAACAGACCTCACTACCTCTGAGGATGCTTGCCATAGATGCAGGCGAAACGTTAGGAGAGAATGCCTCTAGAACATGGCCATACAGCCTGAAAAAACCTACAACAACCCAGTGATTCCGGCCATGAAAGCCTTCGACAATACATTATACCTTTATATCCTGGGATGGGGCAACTTATAATAAGTCAACGCATATGCAATTAATAGGGTACCATTCAGTCTGATTGGATTCTGATCTCATGAAGGTTGGCAGAGCTTGAATAACGTCAACATGATCTAAGGCAGACAGGACAGCCTGCTGGATAGATGATTTTACTTTGCTAAAAGGAACACTGACTTCTCAAAGTACTGGTCATCACACAAACAATTTCAAAGAATCAGACCTTTCCCGTAATTTGTAGATGATAAAGGTGACGGTTCAATTCAAAGGTAAGGTTGAGTGTCTAAGTTGCTCTACTCAGTGTCTAAGTTGCTCTACTTAGTGTGACAGTGTCCCTCAGTGTCTAAGTTGCTCTACTTTGTGTGACTGTGGAGCAGAACAGACAACTCCACAACTGTATGCATGTCCTCAATGTCCTGCCTCATGTACAGAGAAATAATTTTTTGAGGCTACAGACAATGAGGTTGCTGTTGCCCATTTTTGGTCAAAAGATATTCTATTCTATTTTTATCAGTTTTATACTAATTTATGCAATGATTTTGATACAAAATAAATAAATAAAAGTCCAAGTATTCTTTTGGTTTCCATAACATAATCAGATTGCAGGCTGTAAACACTCCAGAGGTTTTTCTGGCTCAAGTTATTAATGCACAGAGTTAGTGAATATCAGGAACTGAAAGAAGGGACTCTTGGGTGCAAGGAGAGGAAAAGCTTGCAAGTGCATTCCCAGTCACCAAACCCAGTCACCAAACTGCGGTTTGCTTTTAATTCGCAACAGAGCCAAGAGCCAAACTTCTGTCCTTTGCTAACATTGTGCAGACATACAATAATAATAATAACAACAATATAACATTTTATTTATATTCACTGTTCAGCAGTGAATAGGCGACACCACTTTTCTGCTAAATACTATATTTAACCAATACTGTATCTGTGAATGTTTCACCTTGTCTCCTGTGCTATTCTAATAATACAATATAATATAATATATTGTATATACATATATTTATAATATTAGAATGTAATACAATATAATACTAATAATATATTATAATTATATATTTATATTACATGTAATTTTACTAATAATATTACAATGTAATGGTATAGTACAACAAAGTAATACTGATATTGTACTATGCAAATAATATAATATATTGTATGCTAGCTGTACCCGCCACATGTTGCTGTGGTCAGACATTTAAACAGAATTAAATATACCCAGTATTTTAAAAAATCGCAGTTAAAGACCATTAAAACATAGGTTTTTTAAATCCTTGTGTGTTATTGTTGAAATGCGAGTTACATTAATTGTAGAGGGCGACTAAAATGATCAAGGCTCTGGAGAACAAGCCCTATGAGAAGCGGCTTAAGGAGCTGGGCATATTTAGCCTGAAGAAGAGAAGGCTGAGAGGAGATATGATAGCCATGTATAAATATGTGAGAGGAAGCCACAGGTAGGAGGGAGAAAGCTTGTTTTCTGCTTCCCTGGAGACTAGGACGCAAGGGAACAATGGCTTCAAACTACAAGAGAGGAGATTCCACCTGAACACGAGGAAGAACTTCCTGACTGTGAGAGCCGTTCAGCAGTGGAACTCTCTGCCCCGGAGTGTGGTGGAGGCTCCTTCTTTGGAAGCTTTTAAACAGAGGCTGGATGGCCATCTGTCGGGGGTGATTTGAATGCAACATTCCTGCTTCTTGGCAGAATGGGGTTGGACTGGATAATATCCCAGGAGGTCTCTTCCAACTCTTTGATTCTATGATTGTTTTTGCTTATTGCATTTTGTTTTACTGATGTGTTGTCGGGCTTGGCCTTATGGAAGCCGCTTCGATTCCCCTTGGGGAAATGGTGGCGGGGTATAAATAAAGTTTTATTATTATTATTTTTAACATTGGTGTTTTTAAACTGGTTTTAATTTATGAACAATTTAATTATGCTTTATCTTTTGTCTTTGATTTTTAGCAATGCCTGTGTTGTATATCGTTGTTCACTATGTGTAAAGGTGTTCAATGTTTGCCTCATATGTATATGAGTCCCTCCGGGGAGATAAAAGCGGAATATAAATAAAGTGTATTATTACTATTATTATTATTATTATTATTATTATTATTATTATTATTATATTTTGAGAGACAGAAATGTTTGTAATTAAGTATTTTGTAATTAACTTGACCAACTTTGGCTACTATTTACTCTGACAGGTGGATTTTTTTTTTACAGGAATCATTATTTGTTCTGTTGCAGACAGCAAAATGTCTTGGGACATCCGTGAACATGTACATTGCTCAATTCTGGGGGAAAGTGGGGTTTAAATAAATATAATAATGCATGCATAGATACTCTAGCGCAGCTTCTACCTGAGGAGAGAATACAAGCTGAGCAGCTTTGTCCACTTACCTCTGCAAGATCCTCAAAACAGCTGCCAACCAGAGGGTGAGGGCTGCTCTCATCGGTCATTTCCACCGTGTCCTCGATTAACCCCAAGAGCTTCACTGTCAGCTCATGGATATCTGTGATGTTGCTAAAAATCATGTCAATGTCCTGAAGGAAAAACATATTTTGAATACAGCTCTGTTTTGCTCCACCACATTTTCAACATTCAGTAACTTTATTAAAAACTAGCTGTACCCGCCAAGTGTTATTGTGGCCAACCTTCCCTCCCTCTTTCTTGCCTTCTTTCTTTTTCCCCTCCCTCCCTTCCCACCCTTTTTTTCTTTTCTTCTCTCCTTCCTTCCTTCTCTTCCTCTACCCTTCCTTCCCCCCTTTTCTTTCCCTTCCTATTTCTCCTCTTTTTTCCTTATCTACCTATTCTTGGACCGCAACTCCCAGAAGTCCTACTGATCGATTTATCTATCTCCCTGCCCACCTACCTCTCTATCAAACCTATCTACTTTATTTATCCGAAGGGTTTCTGGGAGTTGCAGTCCTGGAACAGGAAATTGGAAATATTTATTTATTATTTATTTACAGCTTTTATATTCCGCCCTTCTCACCCTGCAGGGGACTCAGGGTGGATTACAATGTACACATATATGGCAAACATTCAATGCCAATTAGACCTACAATGTATATAGACATACACAGAGGCTATTTAACTTTTTCTGACCGCCAGAGGAACTGTTGCTTGCATTGTCCATCTTGACAGATGCAACTGTCTTTCGGGCTGCAAAGGTCGACAGGAAGCTACACAAATTGGTCGGAAGCTCACTCCGACCCGGGCTGGCTTCAAACTCATGACCTTTTGGTCAGTAGTGACCTTAGTGCAGCTGACTCCCAGTCAGCTATGCCACAGTTCTGGTGCATATATGCATATATATGCTTCAGTGTGGCTGTGTTCATGTCACCAACATTGGGTAATATGGGGCATGATGAGCCGCAGTCTGTTGAAATCACTGGAGGCCTCTGTACTGGATCAATAACTGTTCTTGCAAGAGATGAATCCATGTCTGTTTCCTAATTAGGGGTGACGACGTAATGGATTTTCTTCCTCCGCCTGATTACATACCGATGGCAGACTGTATCTACTATGAAGAGGTGAGTTATTTATTTCTCTCCCCTTCTATTTTGGTGTCTTGTGGGTTGAAAAGATGCTTTCTGGCCAGGGTGGAAATCAGACAGCATCCCAAATGCGGTGCAGGGATTGGGATGGCCTCAAAGAAATCCAAGGAGAAGAACACTTGCAGCCTGAAAGAAGTGCATTGGGATCATCCTCCTCTTCTAAAGGGCCTGGTCTAGGGGATGCTGGGAGCTGTACTCTGGAAGAGAGTGTGGATATGCTATTGTGTGTTTTGTTTGCCAGGGGAGTTGTTTTGCGCATGTGCTGTAGCATATTTTTGCTTTTTGACCTTTTAATTCCTTCCCGCTGTGTTTTTCAGTGTTTTTATGAGTGATGGTCACTCGTTGGTCTGATAGGTGTCTTGTGGCCAAATTTGGTGTCAACTCGTCCAGTGGTTTTTAAGTTATGTTAATCCCACAAACAAACATTACATTTTTATTTATATAAATTCTACAAGGCCCTTAAATAAAATGAGAGGGAACACTGAAGAAAACACAAGTAGGTGCAAGACAACTGCAACTCTCTTCTTCTACTTCCCTCTCTGCCAATCTAGGTGTTTCCAGATAGAATCCCATTGACTACTGTGAGTTTTGGTGCATTTTTGTTTCATTAAAAAAAGTGAGTGGAGGGGGAAGGTGTTTCACTAAGGAACACATCTTTTTCTCAAGGCTCTTGCAAAACATGGCCATGTTCCGCACTAAATAAAAGCTCATTTGGAAAGCAACACATATCTTGTCTCTTTAGAAAAAAAGGTGCATTATGATTCAGAGTTGATTACACTGCTGGGAGTTCATTGTGGTTTTCACACATTAATTTTTAATCAGTATTTTTAGTGTTTTTCAGAATGATGTGAGTCACTCTGGTCACAACTTTGGATATAAGAGGAAGAAAAGCATTCCTTAATTTTATTGTAAACCATTTCCTAACAGCAATGAACACAGGTGGCCACATGGCTCTGCTGGGAAGCCAGTACTGCAACTACATAAATTCTCTCCCCCTTATAAACAAGCTTCCGCTCCAAGACTGCAGACCCTCTTTTTGTTCTTTAGAGAAAAGATTTTGGGAAGGGGATGCTTCCAATTTTTTCCCTCCTCTGCAAATGTTTTGAACCCAAAATAGTCTTAGGAGAAAGATGACTTACATTTGGCGTGAATAATTTCCTGTTGGACATAAATGCTTCTCGAAATACTTTAATGATCAGGTTCAGCTCCCGCAGATACTGCCTTTCGTCGGCAATCTCGCTCCGGACGAGGTCGTAGTAATTGAGTTCCCCAGAAGAAGAGGGCTCCTCCTCACAGAGAGAAACCAAGCCAATGTCATCCTGATCAAACATATCCATCAACACCTAAGAAGGAGGAAGGCATTTGATATAAACAATCGAATCTATATAAATAAAAATGTAATGTTCGTTTGTGAGATTAACAGAACTCAAAAACCACTGGGGGAATTGACACCAAATTTGGACACGATACACCTAACAACCCAATGTATGTCCTGCACTCAAAAAAATCAAAGAAAACAAAAAGCAGAAATGACTTCTAAACTGCATGTCCACAAAGGAGAGACTGCATGCCCACAAAGAGACCCATGGCCATGCCCCCTCCTCCTCGCGGGGGAAACAGCCATTCGTTAAAGCATGAGGAGGCAGGTGCACATGCATGCCCCCCCCCCCCACACACAAGCGAGAGTGGGCACCATGGGAGTGGAAGTGGAGACCCTTCTCTTTCCCTGCTATGTCAGGAGGGCGGTCTCCTCCTCCTCCTTTCCCTTTTGGAAGAGGAAGGGGTGGATAAGTGGCAGCGGCAGCAGTGGAGCCCCCAGGCATGGAAGAAGGGGAGGAGGAGAAGGCGAGGAAGGTCAACGCTGCTTGAGTGAAGGACCTTCCTTCTCTCCCTCACTCCCTTCCCTTCTTTCCTCCCTTTCCTTCCTCCCTCCCTTTCTTTCCTTTTCTTCCTTGCTTACCCTTCCTTTCCTTCCCCCTCCTTCCTTCCTGTCTCTCCCTCCTTCCTTCCCTTCCTTCTCCTTCCTTTCCTTCTTTCCCTCCTTCCCTTCCTTCCTGTCCCTCCTTCCTTCTTCCTTTCCTCTCTCCCTCCCTTTTCTCCTTCTTTCCCTTTCTTCATTTCCTTCCCCTTCATTTCCTTCCCTCCCTCCTTTCTTCACCCCTCCTTCCTTCCCTTCCTTCTCCTTCCTTTTCTTCTTTCCCTCCTTCCCTTCCTTTCTGTCCCTCCTTTCCTTCTTTTCCTCCCTCCCTCCCTTCCTTTCCTCCTTTCCCTTTCGACATTTCCTTCCCCTTCATTTCCTTCCCTCCCTCCTTCCTTTCCCTCCTTCCTTCCTTCCTTCCCGTCCCTTCTTCTTTTCTTTTCCTTCCTCCCCTTCTTTCCCTCCTTCCCTCCCTCCCTCCCTTCCTTCCTGTTCCTCCTTCCTTCCTTCCTTTCTTTCCATGTAAGATATAAATACAATATTAAATGGAAGGGACAGTCAAGAAGAAACAAGAGAAGGAGGGAAAGAGGGAAGGAATAAGAGGGAAAAAGGGAAGGAAGGAAGGAGAAAAGGAAAGAAAGAAGGAAAAAAAGAAAGGTAGAGAAGCAAGGAAGGAGAGAAGGAAATAAAAAGTTAAAGGAAAAAGAGAGGGATGGAAGGAGAGAAGGAACGAAAGACAGAAAAGAAAGGAAGGAAGGAAGGAGAAAAGGAGGGATGTAACCAAAGAGCAAAGAAAGGGAGGAAAGAAACAGGTAGAGATGGAAGAAAGAAGAGAAATAGGAAGGGAAAGAGAAAGAGGAAAGGAAAGAAAGAGGAAAGGAAGGAGAGAAAGGGGAAGGGAAGGTTGGCCACAGCAACGCGTGGCGGGTACAGCTAGTGTTTCATAATAAAATGTGAAATCACTGCTTAAAATAAAAGCAAGGAACTAAACAGTATTGCAGCTTACACTCTGTAAGGGAAAGGATTTATACCGCCATTGGGAAGACTCTGATGATTCAGACGTGTGGGCTGACGGCTTACATAGAAATGAAATAAGACATTGTAAACAATGGCCAGGCAGTAGTCAGGAAGCAAATTAGCAGCGCACATACACACAAACGGTGCCTCTGGCTGCATCTGAAGCATTGGCAGGCCGTCCTGAGGACTCAGCACCTCACCTTGTCAGCACACATGGACACTTTAATGTCCTGTTGGGAAATCTCAAAGTGCCGTATGTTGAAGACATAATTGCCAGCCAGTTTTAAGATGTCAGCAGAGATATATTCCAGGACAGCCACGATGTAAAGGGATACTTGATAATCTATTTTATAGCCAAGAACTTCCTGAAAGTTAGAACAAAAACAACACATGAGCAGTCACATTTATTCCACTTGTATTTGACCTCAGATAGCTGTTGTGTTATATTACATTATGTTTCTAATGTATTACATATTAATTGATATGACTTTTTATCTATTATACTTACCGCATTTAAGCAAAAAGTGGGTGCTAGAAACAGTATCATACGAAAGCTGACTGGCACAACCTGGGGATCACAACCAGATACAGTGAAGACATCTGTCCTTGCGCTGTGCTACTCCTGGGCTGCTGAGTATGCATGCCCAGTGTGGAACACATCTCACCACACTAAAACAGTGGATGTGGCTCTTAATGAGACATGCTGCATTATCACGGGATGTCTGCGCCCTACACCACTGGAGAAATTACACTGTCTAGCCGGTATCGCACCACCTGACATCCGCCGGGAAGTAGCAGCCAATAGTGAAAGGACCAAGGCAGAGACATCTCCAGCTCATCCCCTGTTTGGGTATCAGCCAGCACGTCAACAACTTAAATCTAGACATAGTTTTCTAAGATCTACAGAGACACTCGCTGGAACACCTCAGCAAGCGAGAGTCCAAAAGTGGCAGGCTCAAACCCAGAACCTCAACCAATGGCTGATACCAAATGAGAGACTCCCCCCTGGGCACACAGAGGATTGGGCGACTTGGAAGGCGCTGAACAGACTGCACTCTGGCACCACGAGATGCAGAGACAACCTTCAGAAATGGGGCCACAAAGTGGAATCCTCGACATGTGAGTGCGGAGAGGAGCAAACCACTGACAACCTGCTGCAATGCAACCTGAGCCCAGCCACATGCACAAGGGAGGACCTTCTTGCGGCAACACCAGAGGCACTCCAAGTGGCCTGATACTGGTCAAAGGACATTTAACCAACTACCAAGCTTGCAAACTTAGTGTTTTGTCTGTTTGTTTGCTTTGCTCTGTTAGAAATGTAATATAATTGACTGGCTGCCCTGACACGAGAAATAAATAACCGCATTTAGTTTAACCCTTGGTTTTTGTTGTGTATATTGAGTTTATTTCATTTTATGTTTCTGCTTTGATTGTCTATTAGTTTTGGTTATTTAATTTTTGCCATTTTGTTATATATTTTTTTGTAAACCACCCTGATTCCCTCCAGAGAAAGGGAAAGTTATTAATAACATTATTATTGTTGTTGTTGACCAAAAAGGAAATGGAGGTGACAGTGGCGCTGACTCTAAGAATGGCAATTATGAGGGAAAGGGGCCAAGCATGAATACTAGCAGTCCGAAAACAGTAATGTGAGTAGATAAATGGGTACTGCTTTGGCGGGGAGGTAATAAAAGGCGCCCATGCGGACATGCTGGTGAGTCAATCAGGAGAGTGTCAAAAGACAACAAAGCTCCTCGGCCTGGAAGGTGCAGCAACAGCACCCTCTGGTGGCTGGAGTTGAGCACAGCCTCCAAGTGCCTGAGATGGAAAAAGATGGGAAGCCTTTACCTCTGTTTATTTACAATCTGTCTTTGTATACCGTATATAGTCGAGTATAAGCCGACCCGAATATAAGCCAAGACACCTAATTTGACCTCAAAAAACTAGGAAAATGTATTGACTCAAGTATAAGCCGAGGGTGGGGAAATGCAGCTGCGAATGGTAAATTTCAAAATAAAAATAGATACCAATAAAATTACATTAATTGAGGGATCAGTAGGTGAAATGTTTCTAATATTTATTATTTATTTATTTATTTATTACTTGCACTTATTAACCGCCACTCTCAGCCCTAGGGCGACTCGTGGCGGTGTACAAAAACATAGAAAAGACATTTTACAATAGGTCAAGACAGCACAACAACATTCTACTACTACATAACATCTACTATACTAAAAATCCGCTTCGTCTTATCATGTGGTCATAATCAATCTCATAGTCATGTCCATTCCGGTCAACATTTCCAATAACATAGCACTCAATTGAAGGCCATCTCGAAGAGCCATGTTTTTAGGCCTTTACGAAAGGCCATGAGGGAGGGCGCCTGTCTAACTTCAGCAGGGAGGGAGTTCCACAGCCGGGGGGCCACCACCGAGAAGGCCCGCTCTCTCGTCCCCGCCAGACGTGCCTGTGAGGCAGGCGGGACCGAGAGAAGGGCCTCCCCAGATGATCTTAAGGTCCTCGAGGGCTCGTAGGCCGAGAGAGGTATTGTTATTATATTTATTAGTATTGTTATTATATTTATTAGTATTGTTATTATATTTATTATTTTACTCTATTGTTATTTTTATTATTACATTTATTATTTTACTCTGTTATTATTATTGGAAGGATACGTAGGCACATTTACATTGAAGAAGGTTAGAATGATGGTTTAATCAGAATTGGAAAGTCTTTTAAATTACAGCTTTATGTAAATATTAACAATAACAATAGAGCATAATAATAATAGAGTAAAATAATAAATGTAATAAAAATAATAATAGAGTAAAATAATGTAAGTGTAATAACAATACTAAGTAGAGTAAAATAATGTAAGTGCAATAACAATACTAGGTAGAGTAAAATAATAAATGTAATAATAGAGTAAAATAATAACTATAATAACAATAACAATAGAGCATAATAATAATAATAAATAGAATAAAATAATAAATGTAATAATAAAAATAACAAGAGTAAAATAATAAATATAATAACAATACTAAATAGAGTAAAATAATAAATGTAAAAAAGAGTAAAATAATAACTATATTAACAATAACAATAGAGCATAATAATAATAATAATGAATAGAGTAAAATAATAAATGTAATAAAATAATAATAGAGTAAAATAATAAATGTAATAATAGAGTAAAATAATAACTATAATAACAACAATAGAGCATAATAATAATAATAATAAATAGAGTAAAATAACAAATGTAATAAAAATAATAATAGAGTAAAATAATGTAAGTGTAATAATAATAATAATAAATCTAATATAAATAAGTCTAATTACAGAGTTAAATAATAAATAACATTGACCTGATTATAAGCCGAGGGGGGCTTTTTCAGCCTAAAAAAGGGGCTGAAAAACTAGGCTTATACTCGAGTATATACAGTAATTGGCTATTGAATGTTTGCTGTCTATGTGTACTATAATCCACCCTGAGTCCCCTTGGGGAGATAAGGCAGAATATAAATAAAGTATAACAACAACAACAACAACTTTATTTTTCTATCCCGCCACTATCTCCCTGAAGGGACTTCGGGTGGCTTACATGGGGACCAAGTCCAGTCAAACAGGGTTAAAATATACACAATACAAATACAGACAAAACATCATAAAAACATAATTCATCACAAAGCAACCAGTAGCCAAGCATTGTGGACATTTCAAAACTAAGGGACGAGGCAAGGGCTTGTGCAAAATAACTGCTCGGAAGCTCCAACTAGTCCAACGCTCGGCAGCCATGATTTTAACAGGAGCGGAGCGCAGGGAGCATACAACCCTCCTGTTGTGCCAACTCCACTGGCTACCGATCTGCTACCGGGCTGAATTCAAAGTGCTGGCGTTGGCCTTTAAAGCCCTAAACGGTTCCGGCCCAAGCTACCTATCTGACCGCATCTCTGCCTATGAACCCACCAGGACTTTGAGATCTTCCGGGGAGACCCTGCTCTCGATCCCGCCTGCTTCTCAAGCCCGGCTGGGGACGAGAGATAGGGCCTTCTCGGTGGTGGCTCCTCGGCTGTGGAACGCCCTTCCTACGGACATTAGACTAGCACCATCTCTAATGGTATTCCGCAAAAAGGTGAAGACCTGGATGTTTGTGCAGGCGTTTGAGTAATTTAGTGCAATCTGGTAATGGAACATAGGAATGGAACAATGGACGACGAACCTGGACTACGCTTGGACGATGAGAAGGTTGGGTACGGTTGTTTTTTGTAATAATTGTGCATTGTAATTGCTTATTGGTAATTTATGGATAATGTGTTAAGTCAATTGTTATATGTTGTATGGAACCACTGCTGTTTCTACTGTTTTTACTGTTTGTGAACCGCTGTGAGTCGCCTTCGGGCTTGAGATACAGCGGTATATAAGCAAAGTAAATAAATAAATAAATAATCTGCAAGGACAGGGCACATATTATTATTACTTGTGTACAAGCAGTTTACATCTGCCTGCTGAGAAGAAGAAAGTGAAATCCAACCTATCTTTAGTGCTCTGCTTAGGACACAGAGATCAGTGCCTTCTGATTTCCTCTTTCAGTATTAACTTCTGTTATTTGAAAGCGGGGCAGTGTTTTTATCTGCCTGGGTTTTGTAAACTCCAGAGAAGGAAGAAAGGCTTTGAATAAATGTTGCAATGCAAGCTAGCTGCAGGGAATGCAGTTTGCATTTGACTACAGAAAATTCATTTTAATTGTTTCATCATATATCCCATGGGCAGAATTCACTGGAATTCCGAGAACAGAATAAAAATGGTACACTAATAATCAGAAGGTTTTTTTGAAAGGTCAATGGGGTGTCCCTGGTGCCACGTACCTTTAAAAGGGGGTGTATTTTTTCCACTGGCAGCAGGAGAGGGTTTCTTCTCTTTCGCTTCTCAATGGCGGATTGTGCGTCTGCAATGGCCCACTTGTCAATCGGGTGAGGAAAGGTCTTCTGAACGCGCTCCTGCCCAAATGGAAGACAGGGATTTGAAATAAGTGGCTGGAACCATTTCCTATTACGCACTTGATTTCAACCCTAAATGCTGTATTAGAACATTTATGGTTGACATTAAGTGATATGTGTGGGCATCATTTTGGGCCCTCCAGAGGTTGGTGGACTACAAAGCATTCATCACCATTGGCTATATTGACAATGGCACTGGCTATTCAGCATCTGAAGGGCCACATGAATCCAACCTGTGCTGAGAAAGGCTGTTCTCAAAGTAATGTGCTATGTTTTTGGATATCATTTCTTTATTTTGAGTGACGTCAGTGCCTTTAGTCAGAAAATTACTTACACATTTTAGTAAAAGATAAAAAAGCGAATTAGACCAACGAGGAAAAATAGTCCGCATTCCCACCAACAGGAAAATGTATCACTACATGTAGAGATTTATTTCTCAGGAGGGGAGGAGGGGCAATCTGTAGTTATTGTTGGGGTTCAGCCTGCGTGTGAACCTGAACCTGATTCTCTGATTGCTGAAACTGAACCTGATTCTCTGATTGTATTTCCTGATGCTACTGAAAATGTATTTCTCTCTGAGGGTAATGAAAATGATTCTGAGGTCAGTGGCTTGAAAAGTGAAACTACACATTCTGATGAGAATGTTGCAGAGCCAGATAACTCTCCAGAGGAGATAGCACCTGGCTTCCTTAATGAGAATAGAAAAGGACAGATTTGGAAAAATAGGAGTGAATCGCAGAGTCTGCGAAGGTCAAGAAGATTAAGGGAAAAAGAAGCTCAGGCTTCAAAGCTTGGAGGCGTGTCACGAAACAGTTTCTTCAGTTTTAAGTGCCTCTCGCCGGGTTGTCTCGTTAGATCAGGCATCGTTTAGACTGAGGCAATACCTTGGCAGATTTCCCTGTTTCCCGTGGCCTACATCCCAAGAGGCTTCTAGTGCTCCAAGTACGGTTAGTGATTTGCTAACAGGTTCCAGGTTTTTACAGTGTTGCTTTCGGAATTTTGATCTAATTCATGGATATTCCTGACTGCTGAATTTGACTGTGGCTTTTTGACTTTGCATTTTCCTCTATTTTGTAACCATTTTGCATCAATAAAAATGTGGTTGTAAAGTATTTACAAAACTAGCTAGTGTTTTGCTTCTAAAGTGTTGCTAAAGTTCTGGTTGCGAAAATTTCAGAACTCTAACAAAACTTTCAAAACCTCATTATAAATGGCAGTTCCTAATTGGTTCTGCCATAAAAATCGCCAATAACGAAACAATAATAAAATTTTGAAAGTTTTGTTAGAGTGCTGAAATTTTCACCACCAGAACTTTAGCAACACTTTAGAAGCAAAGCACCAGCGCCCTCTAGTTTTGTAAGTTCTTTAGAACCATTTAGAACCACAGATTACCCATGCCTAATAAATACTGTAAATAAAAACAAGCCAACCTGCTATTTCTATGAGAGGCCATTTATTTATTTATTTATTTATTTGATACTCTTATATACCGCAATATCTCAGCCTGGAACGGCGACTCAATGCGGTGTACAACAGGTTAAAAAACAATCTCCAAATTAAAAACAATATATATACAATAACAATTYWAAAATTATTGGGCCACCAATAATCGTCCCATATATCTCAAGTTAAAAACCACAATCAGAATTCGTTGTCCATGTTYCCTGTCCTTAGTCASCTGGATTYGATTGTCACAAAAATTAGCCGAATGCCTGTTTGAATAGCCATGTTTTGAGYCTCTTCCTAAACACCATCAGCRAAGAAGCTGATYGTACCTCTGTAGGGAGRGTGTTCCAAAGCCGGGGGGCTAMCACAGAGAAGGCCCTCTCTCTYGTTCCCGCCAGCCGCACTTCTGAAGCTGGAGGGATCGAGAGAAGGGACTCTCCAGAAGATCTTAGGGTCCTGGTGGGCTGATAGGCTGAGATACGTTCGGATAGATAAGTTGGGCCAGAACCGTTTCTTTGAAGTGGCATTCCTCTCCCCCCCCTTTTAAAAACCCTTTGATCACACAATAGCTGCATGTGAAAAAAGTAAATAAACTGAGATCCCTTTTGAATGTAAATTATTTTTAATTAAATAAAAAGCCACTTAAATCCCTTGTCTAGAGATACTTCCTAAAGCCATGGCTTTGTTAATACTTGGATCGGGAACCACACTGTGGACACATGAATTCTAGGATGCGTTTTGTCAGTTTATTTATTTATTTAAAAGTTTTATATACCGGCCTTCTCACCTCTCTTGAGGGACTCAGACCGGTTTCCAACCATAATATCGCAGACAATCAATAAAACATCATAATTCATATTACAGTAAAACATTCAAACAGCAATTATAATCAATAACTATAATGGTCAGTCGTCACACTAAAATCGTTGCTCATCATCCTCCATCCATATCTCAGGGTGTTGGCTCATTCGTCGAATGCCTGTCTCCATAACCAGGTCTTCACCTGTTTCCTAAATGTTAGGATAGACGGGGTGGTTCTGATCTCCAGTGGGAGAGAGTTCCAGAGCCGAGGGGCCACCACCGAGAAGGCCCTGTCCCTCGTCCCCACCAGACGCGCTTGCGAGGCCAAGACAAGAAGAACACTTCCCCTCTCCCACCATCGTTTACCACAGATTATGATAGAGGTTTTTCAGTTCCCTTTCCCCATATAAGCATGTTTTTATAATAACAAACTCTGGTTGATTCCCTTCCATATATTGCATTGCGTACCTCGACATCTTGGACAGTCCTTGGCTGGGCAACGCAGAGCTTGTTTAGCAGCTGAAAGATGAGCTCCTCGATGTAGCAGAGGGAGTCCTCCTTGGCTGAGAGGTTGGGATGGACTTGCTGTTGAACCTGCGGAAAGATTTCCATGTGTTTTATTTAGTTGAAGAACTAAAGGTGACAGGGTGAGGGTGACATGTGCAATCCATGGTTCTAAAGCACTTACAAAACTAATGTTCTGGTGGTGAAAACTAGGGGGCACTGGTGCTTTGCTTCTACAGGGTTGCTAAAGTTCTGGTGGTGAAAATTTCAGAACTCTAACAAAACTTTCAAAATTTTATTATAAATGGCAGTTCCTAATTGGTTCTGTCATAAAAATCATCAATAATGAAATAATAATGAAAGTCTAACACGTCGGCTCTTTTAACGAACACAGAGAGGTACATTTTGCAGTTTGTTTACAAAACCTCTTACATTACAACAAATGTAATGATTTCTAATAATTTTATTTGCAATTTGGTTATATTAATTTATGGAATTTCCAACCAACTCTTAAAGGTATGGGCCAGAGCTTTCCTACAGGCACACTAGGAAGACCACTGGATCAAATTAAATAATGAAAATAAGAGAGTTATTTCATTAATGTATCATACCTGAGGTCTGGGTTGGGTCTACACACAACCGCACTTCTGAGTCTCGCATCAACATCTTTCTTAAGTTATTACCTTCTTTGTTATTGAGGTGTTATCCCATGAAGGGGAAGATGCCACTGTTTTACATTCCCTTATTTGCATAGTTTTCCTTTAACAAATTACTTCATCCATTTGTATCCCTGCCATCTGTATTTAACTCAGCTTACTCAGCTATCAAATTTTAGGCCTCAGGCAGATGAAAAATTCCATACAAGAAAGATCTTTCCTAAGTGTAATTAGTAGGCTTGGGCAATCCATGGTTCTAAATGGTTCCAAAGTACTTACAAAACTAAAGTTCTGGTGGTGAAAATTTCAGAACTCTAACAAAACTTTCAAAATTTAATTATTATTTCATTTTTGGTTATTTTTATGATCGAACCAATTAGGAACTGCCATTTATAATGAAACCTTGAGATTTTTTGTTAGAGTTCTGAAAGAGAACGCCTTTCGACCAGTTGGTGTCACTACTGAACCCAATAATAATAATAATAATAATAATAATAATAATAATAATAATCTATATATATAAAAAGCTTAAGGGCGTAATTAGGTGGTCAAAAATGGAAAAACCACCGGACGAAATCTCACCAAATTTGGCCTGCTAATACCTCTTCCCCCAAGGTATTACTAACAACCCTCAAAACACCAATACGCAACAACACAAACTCACAATACCCTAAAAACACGGAGCATGCGCAGAGGCCTCGGGAGGAATACAATGAGGAGGAAGGACTCCATTTTCCAGCTTCCCCCGCGCCCGCCGCGCTCTGCATGCGCTCTGCCGCGTGCCTGCCTCCCTCTACCCCATCGCTCCCGCCGCTGCCTCACATACACAGACGGAAAAACACCAGGACAGATTGCGAGCCCAGCCTAAGAAAGCCCACCAGGCTTATGTAAGCACTAATGGCCAGGGAGGGCATGGAAGCTGCGGGGGGCCACTGAGGGCAACAAAAACAACACGAGACGGGAGGCCTGCCGTCTTCTCCTAAGCCGGGGCCCCGATTTCTACGGCGGCCCGATGCCCCTCTTGCCTTCGGCGGCCTGCAGACCTGCCCGGTGGGAGGTGGGTCTCTCCCAACTGCTTCTCCTGCCCGCTGCTTTCTCACTTTTATAACAATGTACTCCTCATTTCTGGGATTTACGGATTTCAACCACACTTGGCACACTGAACTCCCATGACCAACAGATAATACTGGAAGGGTTTGGTGGGCATTGACCTTTCATTTCGGAATTGTAGTACACCTACATCCAGAGAGCACTGTGGACTCCAGTAATGATGGATGTGGACCACACTTGGCACGAATATGAAAGCAAATGGACTTTGGGTGAAATACACCTTAAAATTTGGGAGTTGTAGTCCCTGGAATTGACTGTTCACCTACAATCAAAGAGCATTCTGAACCCTACAAACAACAGAATGGGGGAAAACTTCCCACACAGAACCCTCATGACCAACAGAAAAAAACTTTAGCCCATCCACTCCAACTCCCTTCACCAGGGCAAGATAACGCAATCACACTCCTCCTGACAAAGACCAATCCACCCATACATATGGATAGATGCATCTATCTATATATAAATGCTCTGTGCATAAGCAGTACCTTAAAAACAGAAGAACCAATGCACGAAATCACACCACATTTGGCAACAAAACGTCTCACAACACAAGAAGTGACAATCACTCAAAAAATTATGATTTTGTCATTTGGGAGTTGTAGCTGCTGGGATTTATAGTTCACCCACAGTTCACCTACAATCAAAGAGCATTCTGAACCCCACGAACGACAGAATTGGGGCAAACTTTCCACACAGAACCCCTATGACCATCAGAAAATACTTAAGGCCATCCAATCCAACTCCCTTCATCAGGGCAAGAAAACGTAATCAAAGTCCTCCTGACGAAGAGCCATCCAGCCATAGATAGATAGAGATAGATATATAGATATGATTCACAGACACACACATATAGTATCATAGATTTGAAGGCACCCCTAAAGAAGGACAATAATATGTTACATGTTCCAGAGTAGGCAAACCAGACAATCTCCACATCAACACTGACAAAGAAACAGCAAGAAGTACTGTTTACCCACAAAAAGAAAGAAATTACATATATTAAAAACCGACATTTTCTCATTATTTTATTTTCCAGATCAATAGACTGGGCCACAGCAACGCGTGGCAGGGCACCGCTAGTAATAAATAAAACTTTATTTATACCCTGCCACTATCTTCCCAAGGGGACTCAGGGCGGCTTACATGAGGCCAAGCCCTACAATACAGTACAGGAATGCTAATAACAACATACAACGACAGTACAAAAAATACAAAAAACAATATAATAAAATATCAAACAATATAAAATCACAATTAAACACAGAAAATAAATCTCAGTGGGCAGGGCCAGTAGCAAGGAATTAGAAATTTAAAACACTGGGTGAGAAGGCAATGTAATGTATCTGGACAGGGGATCAGAGGGACGAAAGTAGGGTTTAATTGCACTAGCTGTTGCACCCTAGAGCATAGGGCTCTCTAATCATTAATCACACCACACCTTGAATGAAGGAAGAATCCTTTTTTATTGAAGAATAACTGGAGCCAATAAAAGATATGATTATAAAATAGGTCCAAAAGCCAAAAAAGCCAAATAGAGCAGCAATATAAGCATTGTCCACAGGAATAACAGCAATGTCCAAAAGGCTTGCAGAAATAATCCAAATGCAGTGAATAACCAAAAGTCTTCAATACAAAAACCATGAACAGACTAGCCACTGCTAATCCACTTGAAAAGCTAAATATATCCTTAGAGACAAGGTCACTTGAAACGGGAATTTCCAGGAGACTTGAGCTTGATTCCAAACGATGCCTGATCTGAAGAAGATTCTCTAAGGGCCCAATTTAAGTCCCAAAAACTGGTTTCTACTCCCCCCCCAGTTTTTGGCCTTAACTGCTGAATTCTTTCTGACCTGTGTAAACATTGGGCCTCTCGACGGTTCTGGCTAATTTCCAGACGGCGACTGGTCTTATCTATCTCCTCATTAACTGCAACAGGTGTGAAGCTATCTTGCAAACTCGAGCCTGGAGAAGGGAGTAAACTTTCTTCCCTTGCTCTGACAGAAACTTTCTCATGAGAACTTAGCCTTTCCCCTGACCCTTCTCGATCAGAGTCTGCAGTAACCTTATTGTCCAAAGTGTCTCCATTTTGCACCTCGTCCTCATTGATCACATCAGGGTCAGTATCCAAATCCGACCCAGAAACATTAGGAGAGGGAACACAAGCACAGATTCAGGCTCAAACACTGGCTGAGTCCCAACACTAGTAGGTAAAAAGTAAAGTGCTTCCAAGGGCATTTTTGCAGGGTTTGGTCACGTCAGGGCTTATAATAACTCAAGAGTCCACACACCAGGCCAAGGACAGGTGATTCTGGCAGTTACATGATAAAACGAGTACCTGATTATCAGTTGTACCAAAGTATATTAAAAAAAGCTGATTCTACATGTAAGTAAAAAAAAAATCATTTGATAAAGGCTAATAAAAAGGAATGGCCTGTTACCACTGGCATCTACATTGCAAATTTCAGTGTCCATATTTTAAGGGATTTTTTATTTCCTCGTAACTTCCTGCTTTATTTTCAAACATATTTAACGATGTACTGGAAGTTACCTAACCTCCTTCTCACGCATAATTTTACACTCCGGCAAATACTTGTTGCAAGAACACCTGCTTGTGCAGTTCACCCTCTGAATAAAAAGGAGCAACATATGTTTTGGGCATGCAAATCAGTACACAAAAGAAAGTAACTGGTGCGAAACATATTATATTTGATTTCAGAATGGAACAAAATGCAGCAGAAATTGTAACCAAGCTATATATCAGGGATGGGCAAACTTGGGCCCACCAGGAGTTTTGGACTTCAACTCCCACAATTCCTAACAGCCTACCGGGTGTTAGGAATTGTGGGAGTTGCAGTCCAAAACACCTGGAGGGCCCAAGTTTGCCCATCCCTGATGCATATTCTAGCATACTTAATATACTAGAAAAAATTGTTGCAAGATAGGCAATTTTCAAATTATAGAGGAGGGGGTGATAAATTTCTCATAGTAGTGCTTTCACAGAAATTATATCCATCTATATAAATAAAAATGTAATGTTTGTTTGTGGGATTAACATAACTCAAAAACCACTGGACGAATTGACACCAAATCTGGACCCAAGGCACCTATCAGGCCAACGGGTGACCATCACTCATAAAAACACTGAAAAACACAGCAGAAGAGACGTAAAAAGCCAAAAAACAAAAAATACATTACAATGCATGTGCCACACATATACACAAACATACACATATACACAAATATATATACATATCTATACGCACATATACAGACACAAAACACATATATACAGACTGGCCTACAGCAACACGTGGCAGGGGATAG